GATTTGAGTCTTTTCTTCTTAATTGAGGAGTTTTCAGCTATAAATTTCCCTCAAAACACTGCTTTAGCTGTTTTTCATAGATATTGGTATATTACGTTTTTATTTTAACTCATTTCAAGTTATTTTCTAATTTCCCCAGTGATTTCTTCTTTGAACCATTGATTATTTAGGAGTACATTGTTTAATTTTCACATATTCATGAATTTCCTAAATTTCTTTTTGTTATTGATTTCTAATTGCATTCCACTTGGTCAGAGAAGATACTTTGGATGATTTTAATCTTTTTAAGTATGTTGTACCCTGATTTATGGCCTATAATATGGTCTATCCTGGAGAATGTTCCATATTTACTTGAGAAGAATGTATAATCTGATGTTCAGGGCTTTGCAATGTCTTTAACCATCTTCCATGGCCTCCTTTTTGGAAGCGAGTGTGAGAGTAGCAGAATAATGAATATTGCAGCTTTATTTTCTCTCCCCTGCCCCCAGTCCTGCTTGGTGTGAGAAAATAAACAAATAATGTAAAATTAACCTAATTTCCTCCTGATGCCCTTCCACATACCAAAAACAAAAACAAAAACAAAAAAAAACCCAGACGTGCATGGCTTTTTCATAACTAGCTGTAATTTCTCTTCCTGGACGCATTAGGACAATGAAATGTGTCTCCATCCACAAGCAAAGCAAACTGAGTATTCTTGCTCCTCAGTGGCTGCCTCAGAAACACTCCTACTCAGAAACTGGTCAGTGGTCCTTTAAAAAAAAAGATTTTACTTATTTATTTTTCAAGAGAGGGGAATGGAGGGAGATATAGAGAGAGAGTAACATCAGTATGTGAGAGAAACATTGATTGGCTGCCTCCTTGCACACCCCCAACCAGGGACCTGGCCCAGGATCTAAGCATGTGCCCTGGCCAGGAATCAAAAAGGTGACCTTTCTTCAGTTTGCAGGTGATACCCAACCCACTGAGCCACACCAGTCAGGACAGTCAGTGCTTTTTTAATCACTGAATTTGGTCCCAGACCATCATACTGATGGCAGATCAAGGGAACTCTGGTTTGGTGAGAATAGAGCCTTTACCTGCTACATTAAATTCCTACCGGCCCTTTTGGCAAGGTCTACACCAATGCCATTAAAATTGTCACTTCTACTCCTGTTTTCCCAGATGCTGGAAATGAGTAACCACATCCTCTTCTTTCCCTTTGGTACCTGTAATAGATCCATTTAGCTGCAATTAACGGAAAACCAAAGTAACTCTAACTTGAGTAATTAAGAATTTATTTTTCTCATTAACAAAAAGTGTGCAGACAGACAATTACAAGCTGGTGCAGTTGATCAGTGATACCATCAAAGGCTCAAGCTCTTTCCATGTTTCCACTGCAGCAACCATAGCAGATGTACTTCATCCTTATGCTCATTGCCTCATGGTCACAAGATGCTGTTGCAACTTAAGACTAAGTCCTGTCCTAGGGAAAAAAGGGGGGTAGGGTGCAGAGGCAAAAAACTTGCCAGAATATTGCAAAAAAAATTTTAGAAGCCTCACCCAGAAACTTCTGCTTATGTCTCATCTTTTAAATCTAGGTTACAAATCACCCCTAGACCCATCACTGAAAGGCTGAAAAATGGGTAGAGAGAAGGGAAAATGAGAAAGGGAGGGGGAGCAGTGACCAGTCAACCAACGGTGGCTGCCACACCTTCCTTCATAACCTTAGTAATGCAAAGCTAGGGCAAGGGTAGGGGAGGGCGACTTCAGCATGGCATGCCGTTGAACTCTGCCTCTGTCCACACCTGCTCTAAACAAAATCAGTCCCCACCTTCTAAAAATCTGAGCTCCCTGGCCCCTTCTACAGCAACGTCTCTAATGACAACATAAATAGGCACCTTTTCACCTCTCTGTTAAATTAACATCTAACTCATGCTCCTTTCTTTAGAATTAGCAAAAGCATATTCTAAGTATTCAGCAGTCATCTGCAGTCATTAAATATTTTCAATTTGAGAACCCCAAAGGCTGGTCTGGGACATCCCAGAAGACATTCCCATGCCAGGGTTTTTTCTTAGCCTCAGAGACCTGCTATGGCAGAATAACCATATCCATCACAGCTACAGCTGCCTGTACCAACAGGCCAACCCATGACCTGGGTAACATGTTCAAGCTTGGGTCCTGGATTTCAAATCTCTGAAGGGGTTAGAAATTCAGATTCCAAAATAGGGGTCTTAAAGTTCAGCTTCCCTCCCTCTCACTTTCTCAGAATACTCCTGGAAATTACATTTTTTGTAATTACATTGATATTTTTATCAAACTCTAATAAGGATGCTTTTGTCTCTCTTCCTTCCAGAACCTTCTACCAGCCTCTCTGTAAAACATTTTAAAGCATTTTGTGAAATCCTTTCAAGTCAGTCTCTTCCCAGTCTTCTGACAGTCCTTGTATCAGGAGTTCCTTTGAAGAGACCTCATCCATTTCTGCATACCAATTCTCTCACAGAATCTTAGCTATAATTTCAAAATCAGTCCACTGAAACTCTTGGGGTCATAACTTTTTTGTACAGCATTTGAAGATTCTTAGCAATCCCATAATGTAGCAAATGTGAACTTTTTCCATAACACTGAGGTACAAGAAATGATATAATAGTAGAGTTAGCCCCCAGAGACTTGCCACAGTGGCAAGATACTCCATTCTCCATAGAGTCTTAGAAAAGTGACCAACTACCCAGTTTTCCCAGGAGTGAGGGGGTTTTTTGGGACCCAGGACTTTCAGTGCTAAAAATGGACTAACTGAATCAGTTGGCCATCTGAAATGTGAACAAACACTGGTTTACAACCCTTGGTATAGTGTAAGCTCTAAGAGAGCAATGAACATGTCTAATGAATTTCTATGTGCCCACCCCTAGTGCTCAGACATAATAGGCACTAAATAAATTCTCAATAAATAACCTAATTTGCAAACAAATGCATGAACCAGTATAAAAATCAAAAATAATAATATTAATAATAATCCAAAGCCTGAGTTGATCTCAAAAGCCACATCAGAAGTTACTTGAGCCAACTGAAATGGAATGCCCTGCCACTTCCTACTTATCCCTTCCAGAGAACATCCCTTTCAGGTTTAAAGAGGCCATGTCCTCAGAGGAGGAGCAAGTTCCTGCCATGTACACATACACCATAATTTCTATATCATCTTTTTTCAATTTGATGGACTTGAGAAGCATCAGGTAGACTTTCCATCATGAAGATCTATTCTTCAGGAAGACAACACATCTCCAGATATAAGCAAAATGTTAGGAAAGAATAAACTTCTGAAAGTACCTATCACCTGCCCAGCCTTACGGACCTCCCAGAGTTCTGTGCTGCACAGAATTATGGCAGTGATTTAAAGTGTCTGGCACCTCCCCCACGATCCCCACCCCAGCACAGTGCCTGGGGTGTAACTCTAATTACTGTGTCACTTTCCACCTGTCTTCCACAAGACACTGAACTTCCTCTATTCCCTTAATATCTTTTTTTCTACTTTTTGCCTTTTTCATTTCTTCCAACTTTCCTATAAGTTAGAGTGCTGTCTTTCATCTTACGTAGTAGAGAGACTATTATGTCTGTACCAACTGTAACTGATGATTACCTCAAGCAAAAGAACACAGTTCACAGAGTGTAACAGTTCTGACTACATATTTCCTGGAGTTTTGTAGTTTTCCTTGAAAAACGAACACAGGAAATTTATTCATTCCTGTGCCTGGTTTCAAAGGGTGCACCTAGAAAATTTCCTGGTATGTCTGTTGGTCCCCTCTCCCTGTCCATGTGCTAACCAACCTCTGATCTCCGTGGCGCATGGTGGAGAGTCATCACTCTGTTCTGCAGTACCCTTCACTCACAGAGTCACTGCTCCTGGAATTCTGACCCTTTTTTGTCCTGTGACTGGCTGAGAAGATCTCAAAAACCCTAGCCCCCACCACCACCCCTACCTTGTTGTACCAAAGGTTTTCTCTCCCTGTTGTTCCCTACTCCTCTTGATGCACAGGCAACTTTGACCACCTGCTTCTTACACCTTTGCTGAGCACTCCAGAAGTTCCCCTATCAGCCCACTCTACCGCCATCATGCAACACAGCCAAACTTTATCACCCTCAAAATAAGGCCTGAATTTGCAGAACACTCCACACAAGTCTTCGTTCCAAGACTCTGTTTTTAAGAATTATAATTCTTGCCCTGACTGGTGTGGCTCAGTGGTTTGGGTATCACCCAGTGGACTGAAAAGTCACCAGTTCAACTCCTAGTCAGGGCACATGCCTGGGTTGCAGGCCAGGTCCCTGGTTAGGGTTGTGTGGGAGGCAGCCAATCAATGTTTCTCTCACACAGCCACACATCGATGTTTCTTTCCCTCTCTTTCTCCCTCCCTTCCTCTCTCTCTAAAAATAAATCAATAAAATTAAGTATTGCTTCTATAGTAATAATTTGTTAAAAGAATTATAATTCTTAAAACTCTACATTTAGCCCTAGCTGGTGTGGCTCAATAGATTGAGTGCCAACCTGCAAACCAAAAGGTCACTGGTTCCGTTCCCAGTCAGGGCACATGCCTGAGTTGATGGCCAGGTCCCCAGTAGGGGGCACAGAAGAGGCAACCCCACATTGATGTTTCTCTCCCTCTCTTTCTCCCTCCCTTCCCTTCTCTCTAAAAATAAATAAAATCTTTTTTAAAAAAAAACATCTACATTTGCCATTGAGTAATACATTAGCCCTCTCTGGGGTAAACACCTACTTCAGGTTAAATGGCATCTCTTAACTTGTTTCTGTACTGTGAACCCTTTTGTGTACATCCCCAACCATAGAGGAAAAGCACTACTTGGGGGCACTGGCGATTCAGGCAGGAAGCCCCTCCCTCCCAGGGCCAGGGGAAATGGCCCAACCCTCCCTGATACCACCCTGCTCCAGGAACCCAGGAAAACCTCAGTTGGGATTGATCTTCAAAATGTTTCAAAGACTGAAGATGAACCAGAGTTTATGTATGTCCTTTCAGAAAAGAGAATGGCTGCTGTTGGCCAAAGGGGTGCCCCAGAGTCAAGGACCCAGCCCAAGAGAACCTGCCAGCACCTTCTATGTGATCATGCCATCACGATCCCCGACTCTGCTGGTGAAGGCAGTGGCCACGCGGGAACTGATGCTGCCCAGCCCCTTCCCTCTTCTCCCTGAGTACCCGCCTGATGACAGCCTTAAGGTTGTGGAGGTAAATGGACCCCAGATCTCAGGAGAGAGGTAGAGGAGAGGAAAGAGACGGGAATTCGAGAAAGGAGTGAGGGAAAAGAATGAGCCAGTGAGAGGAAGGACAGAGAGCTGAGGAAGTAGTCCCAAGGGTGCAGTGAAAGGGTCAGAGAAGAAACAAAGGTAGGAACTGAGGCCAGAGGCAGGAGGAAGTAAGCAGTAATGGTGTGTTCCCAGAGGCCTCTCTTTGCATTATGGGTGCACATGTGTGCATCTAATTCTGTCTGTTGAGGGAAAGAGAAAAAGGCAGACAATGTAGGCACCCAGAATAGAAAGGGCTTCAAAATCAGACTCCAATGCAAAGGAGAGAATAGATCCAAAGGCCATTTTCTCCTGCTCCTCTTCCTTGGAACGGGATTCTGAATTTCCTCTGCCTGTCTCCCCAGTCTGGGGGCAGGAGAGTGGCTCTGGGTAGGAAGGGCTGGAACCACCCCCCTGCTGGATCACTGGCTCAAGTGCAGAGAGTACAGAGCCTTGGATTGTGCTCTCGGCTTGGCGGCCCTGGGGATGCAGAGGGAGGTGGGCACAAGTGGCTGTGGCTTGCTCAGCGTCTCACGTCAGGGCCAATGGTTCCTGGCACAGGATGTTGTGGCCGGAAAACCTGACTGCTCAGGAATGCTGTGCTCGCGTGTCCTTTGGTTATGCTCACCTCACAGGCAGGCCGAGAGTCTGGTGTACCCGCCTTACAGGCTGTGAGCACCCCCAGGCCACGGACACACCCTCCCTCATTGCCTTGCACACTGGACTCCTTGTAATTCTCAAAATGCTCTTGAATCCCATGACACAGTTCTTGGGGCCAGAATGTTCAGTGTCCCTGACCATTCAGGGTTGCTCCGACTTTTTGTACCTGATCCTGATGCTTACCTCACGAACTCTCAGACCTGGGGCCAGTCCACTCCGTGGGATGCTTATCTATTCCACAGCCTGCCAAGACGCCCTAGGTCTTCACACCTCCTCCAGCCTCTTACACTCAAAGGTCTCTGCCTGACATCTTGTGTGCTGTGACCTCAAGTTCCCCAGGTGAGGCTCCCCCTCTCTTCCTCAGAACGTACTGGACAGCCTGGAGCTAGAGCCCACCTACAACCCCTTACAGGTTTGGAGTCACCTGTACTCACACCTGACTAGCATCTTTGCCAAGCCCCAAGGCCGACACCACCCAAGCTGGGAGAGCCGGGCCCTGAGAAAGGTATGGCCCTCTGCCTTCCTCCCCTCCCTTCCCTTTATGCCTAGAATCCTAGAGACCCGCTCTCCTGTCCCCAATTCCCACCCCACCCCCATCCCAGGGGGGAGCCCTCTTCCCTGGATTCCCGGGGCAGGGGAGAGAACCAGGCCTTTGGGGAGGAAAAAGAGCAGCCCTTTGTCCTAGACAAAGGAAATTACAACCCCTCCCCGGCGAGGGAGCTCTTCTGCTTGGGCATTGACACGTGATAATGTTCCGGTGTCTTAATTTAGTGTTTAGTCATAAAACAGACCATTGTCCCACTAAGGAAAACAGCTGCACTGGAACTACACCATAGCCCTTCATTGAAAGGAAAGGCTGAAGGGAAGGTGGGAAAAGAGATGCCCCAGGGAAGGGAATTTACTGAGCACCAGTCATTTGCCAGGTGCTGTGACAAGCCGTTTCACATATAATTTTCTCATTTACCCCTCACAGCATCCCTGCAAGGTAAGCATTATGCTCATTTTACAGATAAGCAAAGGGAGGGTGACCAAGGTTAGTAGGTTGCAGAGAGGGCTCTAGTGAAAGGGTTAAAGAGAAAAGTAATTGAATATGGAAAGTTACTTTCATGAAATGCATACTTTACAATATTTGAGCTTCCTTTTGCCCTTATTAACTTTTTCTAGTTTCACAGTAACAGAGCCTTTAGAAAAACTTCTTTCCCTTAGCTGAAGTTACAAGAGATGTTTCCAGACTAGGAGGAAAAGAACCCACCCTAAGTTAGCTGGTGGGCAAGCTAACAAAGGAGGGACACTCAGCCAGGGAATGGGCACTAGGGGACTCCGCTGCCCTGAGCCTCAATGCTGTCACTCTGGGGAAGGAGCAAGGGAAGGAGTTAGGACAGCAGACCCAGAAGGGAATGGGATAGGAGATAAGGAACTCTAATCTTCAGAGATGGCTCTGCTAACTTTCTTTTCAGGCTGCACAGTTGCAAACAAATCGAGTTCGAGCTACGGTGGCCCCTCTACCTATGACTCCAGCTCCTGGCAGAGCCCCCAGCAGAGCCCCAGCAACCAGCAAAGCCTCCTCAGAAGCCTTCTTCCAGCTTTCTGAGGAAGAGGAAGAGGAGGAGGAGTATCCCTCAGGGCCTTAAGTAACCAGCAACAGAGCCTGGCTGCCCTGCTTAACCACATCCATGACAAGGCTCACATGACAATGTTCTGAGGTCAGACTTGCCTCCCATCCACCTGAGCCTCTGTTAGCTCTAGGTGTCTGAGAAACAACCTTCCCCTCCTCTGTTCTCCGTGCTGCCGCCACCCCACTCCCCAGCCTGGGAAGAGACACAAGAACCAAACCTCTTGCTTCTCCAAGCAGGGACTTGTTTTCTTTGGGTCATTTGATACTGTTAACACAGGTGAAGATTAAACACCCAGTAAACCAACACCATTGTTAGGAGCATTTCCAACCCCGAATTTCTCCTTGTAGCTCTATGTAAGCAGGTGGATGTCACATAACCTTTGGGAAACTGGGCCTCAAGAAACAAGGATGAGGTTTTCAGAGCCCATGAAAATCAAGGAAGATTGAAATCCAAGCCTGATTCCAATGCCCGTGCCCCTCCCACTACATCTCCCACACAGTAGTAATTCCCTTTCGGCTCCAAACAGAAAAGTGGTTGGTGCTCAGTACCTAAAAGCAAAGTGTGTATAGGGGCTGGGGATGGGGGCAGGGGAGGGGGAATCACTTGGCTGAAAACGGGAGCAGATGGTATGAAAAAGACCTATTCCCTTCCTATTCTCCTCTCCTCACTTGCCTACTTTCCCATCGGCCCTCTCCATCTGGAGAATAGCAACTATAAAATGTACTCTGTGCTTCAAAATTGCACCAAGTACTTGAGAAATTTAACCCCTTCCATACAAACAATGCTGTAAGGTACAGCCTGTTATGAAGTGTTCCCAATGTACAAAGGGACAGCAAGGGTGACTGAGGGTTGCAGATGTTATAAAACTCACCCAGGAACACAGAGATAGGGTCAGGTCCCGGTGGGCTGGATGGATCCCCTAGACTTTGAATTCAGACAGTTGGCTCAGCGGCCCTCCCTGAGGCCCTTTCCTCCTTGCACGGCCCCCAGCACATTCCTGGTTCTCCTCCCGTGCACTCCACACCCACAGCACACCCTGCCTCTGTGTCCCCTCTGTGACTATTCACACACATAGACCTTTTAAACCCAAACTGACTTTAATGAGAATAAAACTTTTTAAAAAATAAATCTCTGGCAAAAAACAACACAGAAGAAAGGATCCAGGCAAGTCCAGCATCTCCCTACAGCCTCCATGAAGGCCCCTCCCACTGTACCTACTCTGGTCAAGCACCCTTTCTGCAGATCTGGTCCAGCAGCTTTCCGTTCCTTTTGTGGGGGGTGACTTAGGGATGCTGGCCTCCCCAGGCCTTGCCCCCAAGCCCCTGCCATCTGTCTCACTTCCAGGACTTCCAGGGATTAGTCATTCTTCCCTTGACTCCCCTGATCTGCCTGTTCCCCTAGTCTCAGACAGCCCCTCCAGCCCTCTGCTCCCCACTGGTTCTAACAGGTTTCTTTGATTCCCCAGTGCACTTTTTCATGGTTCTATAGCAACCCCAGCCTTGCCCCACTTCTCATGTGGAGCCCTCTGACTTGACCCCAGTCCTGTCAGCCCCTGCTCTCGAGAGCCCACAGTCCCAGCTCCCTGAGGCTCCGCCCTTCTGGATCTGGCTGTACAGGGCAGTGTCCGAGCTGTGGCCTTTGCCGCCACTGCCAGTTGCAGCACCAGGTTCAGGGAAGGCCAGGCCCTGGGGCTTGGGAGCTGGGAGGGGCTTTGTGATCCGAGAAGGGGGAGGCACTTCGTAGTCATCAGTGGCAGGGTTGTAGGGGAGCTCATAGCCCTCCTCCTTCACTCCTCCAGGTCGAGCCTGGCACCACCATGCATCCTTGGGCTCCTGAGGCAAATCATAAAGGCCCCGGAGAGCGGCTGGGGCCAGGCCTTCAGGTTCATCATAGATGGGGTCCTCTTTGGGGTCCTTCAGCTTGGCTTTCATCAACTCCTGCTGCACATGCTCATACAAGTTCCAATAGAGAGTTTTCTTTAACTGCACCCCCTCCCCTGCCAGTGCAGGGGTGCTGTCCAAAGGGTCTGAGTACAGAGAATCCTGGGAAGGACCTGGAGGAATGCGCAGAGAGTCTAAGGGTTCAGCATACAGGGCTGGAGGGCTGCCAGGTAGCTCCTGGGCACCAGGGTGGGAAGCCAGCTTCCGCTCTGCCAGTTCTTCATGGGAATCAGCTCTAACAACATCCTGTCCCTGACCAGCCTTGCCCTGGGCCTTCTGCCGTTGGATAGCAGTCTCAACAGCCTGGAAGATGTCATTTCCCTGTGCTGTCTGGAAGGTGAATGTTCCAGGGCCGGAGGGGCAGCGCCGGCCAGCCTCAAATGAAAACATTACCTGGAAAGAGTGTGAAGGGAAACCCACTACTAAGAGCCATCAGACATGGTGAGTCACAGGGCTGAACTAGGTAGGGGGTCTACAAGGCAAAGACTAGCTGGGGAGAGAGGTGGGCTCAAGGGCTACGCAAAACAGGGTTATCAGAAGGCAGAGCTTCCCACCTTCCTGCCCTGCCCCATCCCACCCCGCCCACAGCCCTGGCTCCAGAAAGCCAACCCAACTGGACAGCATACCCACCTTGTCTCGGCCATAGCGACGCAACAGAGTATAGGGCCAGGAAAGAAGTGGCTCCAGTATCTGACTCTGAGTTCCCACAGTGAGGAGGGTCAGCCTCTCAGCCTCCACCCTCAGCACGTAGGAACCATGCAGGCCACAGCGCTCAGCAGCTTCAGTCCTCTGCACGGTTACCCAGAACTGGGATCCTGAGGAAGGAATATACAATTAGACTGGCACCTGATGAGGTGGGGAGGTGACAGGATGCAGATCCTCCGGGCACTCACTGTAAACCAGCTCTCAGGAACTTCCTACTTTCCCATGGGTCCCTGGACCCTCTAATCAGCCCCTTCCCATGGGGCGCCTTTCCCTTCCACCCCATCCGTGCCCAGGTTTTCAGGCGGCTACCTTCCCAGGTGGGGCTATACAGCGAGTTCTCCAGCATCTCCAGGGCAGAAAGCTTGGGTGGGTTCTCGGCAGGCGCCAGAGCCCAGCTGCCTTTCTGGGGTAAAAAGAAAAAGAGTATCCAAGACCGGTCATAGGTTCAACAACGCGGTTCCAAGGGTCTGAGCCAGCCCAGTTCCTCTGCCGCTGTAACTACCCCCACCCCGGAACCGCCTCTAGGGCCCTGCTCGGCTAGCCCCAGCCCCTCGCGGGCAATCCTGGTCCCCTCACCGGAAAGGCGTTGAGGCACAGCGTTTGCACCCAGGCGGCACTGGACGGCGCGTCGGCTGCCAGCAGGTGGGAGCGTTGTGCGGTGTCCAGGCGGAAGGCGGCGACTCCAGGCTCGGGGGGACTCTCCAGAGCCACGGGCACCACGCTCACACACTCGGCTAGACGGATCACCTTGCAGTCCAGGCGGCGCGAGGCCACTCGGCCCCCTCCGGAGCTCGACCCCTTGTGGTCAAAGAACTCGAGGCGCGCGACGCCGTGGGGGCTGGCCGGGTAGAGCACGGCCCAGGTCTTCCTCCACCTCTGCGGGAAGAGAGCGAGAGACGCTGGGGAGGCAGCGGGCGAGGGCCGGCGGCCCGGACCCGACGGGGAAGGAGGGACTAGCGCAGGCCTTCCGACGGGGCCGAAGTTACCCGAAGAGGATGCCGCCGAGTCCCCCAGGACCAGAGAGGGCGTGCCCCAAGGCCGGCAGACGCTTCTCCGCGGGGTGCGGAGAGACTTCGCGGCAACTTCACAGAGCTCTGGGCGCCCGCGCCGCCCTCCTACCCCCGGCCTCCCTTCCTGGGCCCTATCACCCACCCCGAGCTCTAATGGGGTTCAGCGCCCCAGCCCGGGACTACCTTGGTACCGAAACGCTGACTCTGCAAGAAGAGCGGCCCTTCCATCACAGCCCCGTCCATGGCCCCCGGCGGTTCCTTCTTTGCTTCCTGGCCTCGCAGGCCGGGGCGGGCCGTGGGCGGGCCGGGGGCGGGGCGGGGCCCACCCGAGGCGTCCCCGCCCCCGCCCCGGACAGCGCGCGGACCGCGAAGAGGGCGGAGAGAGAGGGGCGAGAAGGAAAGTGCGGGGGTGGGGGGACTGAGGGTCCCCAGGTAAGCTGGACGACGCAGTCCCTGCCGGCTTGTACCCACCCCCCAGCCCTGGGGACGTCGTGCACAGGTCGCTCCACCAAGAGAAACCTGGTTTCCGCCGGAGGGCTCTGGTGCCTGGGCAAGGGAGTCGCGTGTGACGTCATATGCTCTGCCTGACGTAGTAGTGAAGGCCGTGACATCACCTGGAAAGTGCTGACGGGTGCCCTGAGGACCTGGAGGAACTACGTGGGTCCTCCTAGCCTCAGTTCCCCCGACCAGACCCGCCCCTGGCCTGGCTATTGACTCTCCACGGAGCAGGGAACCTGAAGGACGGGCTAGGGGCTCGGAACTGGGAGGCTTCCCAGAGCCCAAAGCTGAGCCGCGGCCGGCCGCCGCCACAGGGGCCGCCGCCCGGGGCCTGTCCACTGCCCTGTGGCCTCTTGCGTGTCCAGTTCCCTGACCGCAGCTGCCCGGCCTCCAACCCAAGGGAAAAGAAAGCTTCATTGAGCCGGGAGGGGAGGGGAGGGGCAGGGGGAGGTGGAGCAACCGCGGCCGGCGAGCTCCACGGGGGAGGGGAGGACCTTGAGGAGGGACCCGGCCTGGGAGGAATTCAGGGAGAAGGCGGAATGTAGGAGGGCTCTAGGGGACGTGGGAGGGACAAAAGGAGACGGGGGAGAGAGGGGAGGGGTCCAGTCTCCCCTGGCCGAATACTTTTTTTTGGAAGTCCTGGGACTGATCTCCAGGACCAGAACTCTTCTTCCAGCGTCAAGGGCCCCCGCTCAGCCAAAGGTAGGGGAGTCCCGCTGCCGAGGAAGGAGAGCTGCGGATGGAGAGGATGGTGGAGGAACCAGAGCGAAGGGGTGATGTGGGATGGAGTCGAGGGGAAGCCAACCAGCTAAAGGTTTTATTATTGTCAAAGGAGAGTGAGACAAGATTGGAAAGAGAAGGCAGATATGGGGCGATGGGTGGGGCGGGGCGGGACGGAGGGGGGGCGGTTGCTGCAGGGTTTTTCAAATAGGGCAGCTGGGAGGGCCGTAAGGCTGAGGACTGCTCTGTGAGGCCCTACCTCTGAGCCCCCCAAGCCAAAATGTCCCCAGAACAAAGCTGTCCTGTTGGGTTGTTTGTCTGAGTCTGGGGAAATATGTGGGGCGCCCCCCTCCCTCTGTAGAAGAGCTGTTCTCAGCCCCAGACAGAGGGAAGGCCTTGGCTGAGGAGCTGAATGGTGCCCCGGCCTCCCGTTGCTCGGTGACAGTGGTGGCGATGTTGGCAGGAGGCTTGGACAACCCCACCCCACCCCACCCCCCACCGAGCTTGAGGCCTGGCCCTCCTGGGCCCCTTGACTCTGCAGGGCATGTGAGAGCCTGTGTTCAGGGTAGGGCATGCAGTGGGCTCTCCATGCACTCTAGCCTCTGCTCTCTCTGCCCCAGAATCTGCCCAGATAGGATTCTGGGCTTGGCCTCCATTCATGGGACCCTAGATCCAGGGGTCTCCTAAGTCCCCTTTGCTTGCTTCTTTCCACAATCAGTAGCTGTCTGTCCTCTGTCTGACTGGCTGAATGGGTCCCTCTCACCTCTGCTTCTCGGCTCCTGTCAGTCCCTCTCCTCCTCATCTGCTACCTGCCTCTCTCAGCCATTCCCCAATTCTGTGTTCCTGATCACCTGGCTCTCTCCTGATCACCTTCTGTCCATCATCAACATTGTCTCTCTCTGTGTGTGTGTCTCTCTCTGGCCCCCTTTCATTCCCACAATTTCCCTTCCTCTCACATCCTGTCTGTCTGGGTCTTCCTCTTTGTGTCGCTTGCTCAGTCTCTATCTCGTTATCTCAGCCATTCTCTGACTCTTGGTGTCTAATCATTGTCTTTTGATCTCTGGGTCCCTCATGTTGTGAGTAGGGGTAATGAAGGTGATAACTGTAGAACAAGGGAGCATCATTGTGACACATTAACAACTAATAGTGAGAGTTTTACTCCACAAAAGGGAGGGAGAGTCTCTCTCTCTCTCTCTCTCTCTCTCCCCCCAACCCCTCCCTCTCTCCCCCTCCCTCTCTCTCCCCCTCCTCCTTTTCTCTCCCCCTCCTCAATCTGAGTCTCAGTCTATGACTCCTTGACTCTGTTTCAGCCCTTATTTAGTGTGTTCCTCTCTCACTTTCTTAGTCCCTGTCTTTCTCTCCCCCTTTCTCTCTCTGGTCTTACTGTCTCTTTTCCTCTCATGACCTCTGTCTCGAGCCCGGGCCTGGCTTAATCTCGGTTTCTCTCACATACTCTCTCTCTCTCACTCTGGGGTACCTAGGCCTTTTCTGCCATGCAACCTGTCAGTGTTTGGCGGTGGAGCCCTTGGGGGCTGCTGCTGTGCCTGCTGTGCAGCTCATGCCTGGGATCTCCATCCCCATCCATGGCCCCTGAGAAGAGGGCCGGGAGCCAAGGGCTGCGGTTCCGGCTGGCTGGCTTCCCCAGGAAGCCCTTCGAGGGCCGTGTGGAGATACAGCGAGCTGGTGAATGGGGCACCATCTGTGATGATGACTTCACACTCCAGGCAGCCCATGTCCTCTGCCGTGAGCTGGGCTTCACAGAGGCCACAGGCTGGACCCATAGCGCCAAATATGGCCCTGGAACAGGTGAGCACTGCTCCAGGAATAGCCTAGGTATGGCCTAAGTGTGACCTAAGTGCAGGGAGAGAGACCGTCAGGATGACAGAGCTGCAGGGGCACAGGACACTAAGAATAGCCAGTGTTAGCCAACGTAGTCACTTCTCAGAGCTGTGTGCTCTTAGTCTGATCAATACCTTCTCTGAGCCTCAGATGCCTCGTGTGCAAAGACGTTAGATGATATCTAAGTTTCTTTCTGTTGAACAAAGTATGATTCTCCAAATCCATGCACAAGCACAGCCCTGATTAAGTGAGTCCTGGTTAAAGTACAGGTACTTCCATGAGAAGTTGAAAGCAGGTAAGTAATGTCTGGGTGACCCAAAGCCAGACAGATCACAGATACTGCAGCTGACAAAGTCACATTATAGGCCAGAGCTGAAACCAACAAGCTGGAACTGACTAGGACAAGTAGAAGGTTAGGAACAATTCCACCTGAGGCCTGGGGGTGCTTGCACTATATGAGCCCACAATGGGATTGCTAGACATGCTGGTGCGGTCTGCAGCTGATTCCCCAATTTCAACTGGCTAGACCACTTCTGAACCACTTATAAATGCCACACTGTAAGAGACATGATAGAAAACAGATATATTTTCAGAGGAGAGCTGCCCAAGTGTGAAAGATTTTTTAATCTTTTTTTTTTTATTGTTTGATTTTACAGAGAGAGGGGATGGAAGAGACAGCAGAGATAGAGAAACATCAATTTGTTGTTCCATTTAGTTATGCATTCATTGGTTGATTCTTTACATGCCCTGACAGGGGACCAAGCAACCTTGGCATATCGGGATGATGCTCCAACCAACTGAGCTACCCAACCAGGGCCCAGATGTCAAAGATTTGAAACCAAGTTTCAAGGAGTAGTAGCTGAAGAAACCAGGGATTTTTTTTATATGAAAAGGAGAAAACCTTGGATAGCAATTACATGATGGTTATCTTCCACTATGAAATAGTCATGTGGCTGAGGGACTTTTCTTGGATGGTATCAAAGGACTAAATATAGACCTGGTAGGGGAAAGTCATAGTTACAAGGACTTTGTAATGGTTCCCATAGCCTTGTGGGGCAGGTGGTAGATGTTCCAGCAGAAGCTGGGGAAGTCCTGTCAGGATATGAATCAGGGGTCCCTGCACAGTGGCTGACAGATGACCTTTGAGGGTCCACCCAAGTCTGAGAGAAGGCCAGTGACAGTCATTTCAAAGGTCCAGGCAGAGAGAAGAATAAGGGCAATATGGAAGCACAGACAGGTGGGCATATGGGGAACTGTGAGGCTGAGGTGAAAGACCTTAGATTTCCAAGACTCACAGCTGGTTCAAACCCCTAAGCCACCATTGGCTGTGTGGTCTTAGGCAAGTACTTAACTTCTCTGAACCCCTGTTTCTATATGTGAAGTGGTGGTAATATCTTCTGGCAGCTCTGTACCAAGAATGATCATGTATGTATACACCATGGCCAAGTGCCTAACACACAATAGATTCTTGGTTAATTGTACTATCATTGAGTAGGTAAGAACTGAGCAGAATTCCAGTGTTGACTCTCCGTTTTTTATTCACCATACCAAATTCCTGACTACCCCAGATTACCAACAACCCTCCATCAAACCTGTGTCCCCTTTCCTATTCCCTCCAGGGTCCCCTCTCTCTTCCCCACCCATTATCTTACCAGAAAAATGAAATCATTGTTGCCAAGTGTGAGGCCTCCATTCTCACTCTCCAAGTCCCCCGTCACTACCCCTATCCTACCTCCCCAAGCCTCTTTGTCCCTTCATCTCTCCCTCCACAGGCCGCATCTGGCTGGACAACCTGAGCTGTAGTGGGACTGAGCACAGTGTGACCGAATGTGCCTCCAGGGGCTGGGGGAACAGTGACTGTACCCACGATGAGGACGCTGGGGTCATCTGCAAGGACCAGCGCCTCCCTGGCTTCTCTGACTCCAACGTCATCGAGGTCTGCAGTACACACACACACACACACACACACACACACACACACACACACGCGCGCGCGCGCCAGGATGGCCAGACAAAGAGGGCTGTGGGGCATTATGTGTGGTTAGAGGAGATACTAGAAGGTAGGGGACGCCATATTCCCCACTGGATAATTTGGGTTGGTGGGCTGGGGGGCTGGGTGGGTAGGGTAAAACGGCAGGGCTCCTAGAGGCTGAAAAATATAGATTTGTTTCAGCATTAACAAACCTGGCAGGGATCTGGGACCCGGGACACCCTGGGACATCTCCCTTCTTACTTTACCCCTCCTTCAGTGCCACTTCCTCTGTGAAGTGCTCCCTCCTGCTCCAGACAGATGCCCCTCCCTAGCACCCTTGATCATTCCTCAGGGCACAGCACAGCCGTCTTTCTCGTCCATGCACCACTGGGGGAGGCAGGCATCTGTCTCGGCCCTGTCTCAGCCCCTGCTCCCCATTGGGTTTGCAGGAAGCACATGCAATCTGGGTTCCTTAAGGGTGGCAGGACATGTGAAAGGTGCTACTGGGATTCCTTCCTCGGCTTGTGGTCCTATCCTCAGGTAGAGCATCACCTGCAAGTGGAGGAGGTGCGACTTCGACCAGCAGTTGGGCGGGGCAGGCGACCCCTGCCTGTGACTGAGGGACTGGTCGAAGTCAGGCTTCCCGATGGCTGGTCAAAAGTGTGTGACAAAGGCTGGAGTGCCCACAACAGCCACGTGGTCTGCGGGATGCTGGGCTTCCCCAGTGAAAAAAGGGTCAACACGGCTTTCTACAGGTGAAGGGATATGGGCGCTGGTGGAGCAGGCTTGGGTGGGGGACGCTCCATTAAGAATGGGATTGAGAGACCTCTGGGAGGATCCAGGCACGTGGGTGGTGAGGGGGGCTCTGGGATAATGGCCAAAGGGGAGACCGTGGCGAGGTTGGAGAGGTGAGAAGTATTGTGGGACCATGAGGGGCATCCTCCAGGCGGGTCAGCAAGGGGACCAGTGAGGCTCCTGCTGTCTGGTGTTGAAGCGGGGGCGGGGCGAGTGGCGGCGGGTTGGCAGAGTCCCCTGCCCCTGGCGCGGGCCCGGTCTCGAGGCTAAGCCCAGCGGCCGCGGTCCGCGGGCCGTTAAGGTCACTGCGCCGCCGCGGACGGGATCCCGGGTCCGAGTTTAGAGAGAGCGCGGACGAGCCCTGCCCAGGCGGGGCCATGGTCCGCGCAGAGCTAGGCGACAGGGGTCTGAGGACTGGAACTGGCCCGTGTCGCCCGCGGGACTGCGTGTCCCGCCCTAGGGCCTGTCCCTGAGGGCCAGACGGGGAGGGCGCCCCGCCGTGGGTTCAGGCCGCCAGCGGGGCGCGTCTGTGAGCCTGCGAGCTCTAAGGACTCCTAGGAATGTTTTCTAGAATACCCTTAAGTCCTCCGCCTACCGGAGAGCCCAGGTGTAGGGGCCAGCTTTCAGAACAACGAATCACCCTTGAGACCGGTGTGCTTGGCGTCTCCCTTCCCTGAAGCATCTAATTTGGTCATTTTGAGAAATTTGGAAATCTTTAGTCTCTTTATAATCTACTTTTGCAAGCTAAAGATGCTTATTTTCTTTTTTTTTCTTTGTTTTCTATTTTTTCTCTTGAAAATACTTATTTTCTTCAGCATTTCCTTAGATCGGTTTTGCAGAAAAACCTCTTGACATCTAGGTAACCTTCCACTGGGTACACTACTTCGGTCGTGATCTGACATGGTCCGAGCAGAAGGGTGCTCCACGTTGACTGAAGCATGCCTAGATTTTGCATTGCCTTTCTGTTGAGGCAGCACCCCACTGCTCATGCTGAACTTGTAATTACCTAAAACCAATTCAGGTCTTACCTTTGATACTGATAGAGCAGACTATTTGAATCTAAATCTATGTTGGGTTTACTCTATTAACGTGCTACATCATTTTAAAAGCTCTTTGAAAGCTATGGTGATCCCATGAGATTATCTTGAATCTTGACATTATTTTCCATGTGTCATCCTTCCCAGCCTCCTTTGGTAAGAAAGACCTAATAGCTGTGCCTTCTGGCTTCATCAGAATAACTGTTAATATTGTTGAAATGTTTGAAACCAAAACCTGCCTCTTCTTATGAAACTTTCCTTCAGGTTTACATAAAGCCTTAAATCATTAGTTGTGAAATGTTTTTTCAACCAATTGGGTACAAACTGAACACTACAATGATGTAGCTAAAATTTCACCATCTTATCTATAATGAATTCATAGGAGATTTTGTTAGTCTTTGCTAAAACCCAGATATACTATGTTCATAGCCTTTCTCCAGCCTTCTGATTAGTAATCATTCAAAAAAAAATCATGGTGGTTTGACTGAGTTCATTTTTACTGAGATCATTTCAGGCCTCTAAGGATCATAATTTTTCCTCAATGTTCATGAACTTTCTATTTCATAACTTACTCTAGAATATTACTTATCTATTGGTTGAGGATCCTTTTTCTTCATTTTGAAAGTATTTCTTCTTTCTGAATATATTACACAACCTCCAGTCTTTTCCATAATTGCTCAAAATTTCCTTGCATTGGCTCTGAGACACATCTGAGATTTCTTTTGGCCCCCAAAAAATACACTTTATCTGCTTAAAGAAACAACTCTTTTACAACATCTATGTGCTGTGCTCCTCTACTATTATTTTCCTGGAGCTCTATTTCTTTCTCTGTATTTTTTCTTTATCTTTCTTAATCCAAACACCAGGTTCTGAAAGATGAGTATGATTTAAATAGCAGGCATTTCAAGTGAAAAGGATAGCATAAACAAAAGGGTAGAGTATTTGTTCATTCAGCATTTATTTATTGAGTGCCTACTGTATGCCAGGGATTGTTGTAGACTATAGGGATTCAACAGTGAACAAAACAGACAAAAATCCCTGATCTCACAGACTAGGGAAGGATAGGAAAATAAAAATGTAAGAATGGCAAAGAGTGTAACCATTAAAAATAAAGCAGGGAAGGACTTAGGAAATGGTGTGGGATCACAGTTTTAAATAGAGTGTTCAGCAAGGCCTCTTTGAGAAGGCATCATTTGAGAAAAGATTTAAAGGAGGTGAGGGCACAAGCTATGCAGAAATCCAGACCAGCATTTTCAGGAACAGTGATCATAAATGAAAAAATCCAGGGGAGTGTGTGTTGGGGAGCATCGAGTCAGACAGGGGAGGCATTCTCATGGATAAGAGCAGACTACTGTACTTCTAGATTTCTAAATAATACTATATCTTTCTGAGCACTACTCTGGAGATCAAGATGATCTCTTTGGGTAACTGGCAAAAGGAAAGTGCCAAGTTTATTTTATTTTGGATATGTTTGAGAAAAAGACATTTGGGGGAAAGTTTTACATTATACTTAGATGATGAAAGATTCTAAACTCTTAGTTATGTCTCTGGAAAGGGATCTGGGAACTACTGTGGACTCTTGGCTAGCAATGGTGGACATATTGGCTGTTTTGGCAGAAAGACCAACTGAGTATATCCTCAGGAAATAGCCAGGGCAGGAGATACCCAACAGCTTCAGCCCTGTTTAGAATCTATATGTTAAAATTTTAGTGCCTCTTCATACCATAAACTGTATCCAACTATGACTCCTCAAGAGGAACTGCAGAGCAGGACACATTCAAAAAATGATAACAGGGAATTTATAAACTTATAAGAACAGACAAGCAGGGCCTGCATTCATTCATACATAGTTGGACAGGACAAAGATGAGGCAAAATTAAAGTCTTTGATATCAAAGGGAGAATGAGAGGAAAAACAGACCTGGTTTCCAGACATTGGACTTAAGGCAACCTCTTGAAGAATAAAACAGGTTAAGTATTTAGACTAATTAAAAAGAAATAAGGTTTTAGAATTTATTCCCCTGGAAGTAAGTTTGGGGGATGAGCTCAGCATGTGAATAACTAAAACATATGGGCTTTAACTTGGGCAGGAAAGGTGCTGTCATCCTAAGCAGCCTGGCTTCACATTCCCCCGTCAAACCAAGTTAACATCCGTAGATATTCCTACCTTGGCCCTTGGTCCTGATTCACTAGCCTCGGGCCTGGAAATGCCAGAAGCTAGAAAGCCTCCAAGAAAGAAAAAGACAGCCCACCTCCATCAATGTGAGCAGGCCAGTTCTCTCTCCTTACCTGGTCAGGTTGGCTAGCCTAACAATCCTAACACCTCTCTACTTACATCCTTTCCCTTAGCCCTTCCCTAAGGCTTAGATCAGCCTTAATATTGACCCAAGAGTTCTTACCCCCACTGGCCTTAACCTAACTCTGTGGTCCCTGGTATAGGGGTTCTATCAGCCCTGAGCCCATGCCCTTCACTGGTGCTCACACACCCAGTCATGTGCTTATGAGGCCAAACAGCTGTGAAGAGTAGAGCCTTGGGAGGGTCTGACAGTATAACACCTTCCACCATGAACCCTTTGACTCTAGGAAAAGAAACCTTGCCCCTGGTCCCAGCTGCACCACCCTTTTCCACTCGGTTCTAGAATGATCCTGACTCTGCTATTGTCTTATCCTCACAGAAAGTTGAGGAAGCGAGCGGCCAAAGCCTCGGCCCGACGCCCCAAGCCCCTTGGAAGGTAATGGGGCCAGAGCCCCGGGACCTCCTGCACACCCCTGTGGCCCCAGGAGGTGGATGGATGGAAGGCAGCCTATCCATGTCCATCCCAAAACCCAAGCTGACAGATTAAAGCTGTGACTGGAAAATGGCCATTCCAGGGTGGGGATGGGAGGGGAGGTAGGCATGGGAATAGGCGAGCTTTGATCTTAGGAAGCACAAGTGTAAATAATGAAGGAATGGCTGGGGAGAAGCCTCCTCATCTTTATATTCCCCCCCACATAGCTTGGACGGCAGCCTGAGCCACCTGCATGCTTCCTCCCCTTCCCCAGTCTTCTCCCGTAATTCTCCCACATTCCCGTTCTCTCTACTGCCTGCCCTAGCTTTCCTCTTATCTCCTCCCCGCACCCACCTGGACTGACGTAATTAGATTTCTCATCACTGTTGCTGAATCCAGAGAACAATACAAGATCCTTACGTACACTTTGGGGGTATGCAGTAGTCCGTGTTTGTGGCAAACTGGGCCACCTTCCCTATAGCCCTTCTCAAACTCTGCATAAGGAGTCCTTCCCAGAAACAAGGGGGGAGAAGAGAAATCACACTCTGCCTTTCCTGGGCCATGTACCTAACCACTGCTTCCACTGATTTCTTTCTCCTTTTTTCAGACCAATCACCAAGCGTAAAGTCAAACCCAAACCCCGAGTGGGCAGGGGTCCAATCAAGAGGTAAATAAAGTTCAGGCTTGGTGGACAGGAGAGGGAACACCTAGCTCTGTGTCCTGGGATTGGGCTGTGGTCAGGAAGGGGTACAAGAGAGCCCTCCACCAGCAGGTGGAGGAGCAGCAGCAGCTGTTACAGACCACCTTCCAGATGATTCGCTGAACCATAATGTAAGGCTTGCCCTTATGTCCCTGGGGAATTATACTTGTCATAGGATTTTTGAAAATCTCTATAGGAGTTCATCCACTGGCTACCCTTGTTCCACATGCTCATTTATCTTCCCCCAGCAAATACTAGTAGGAACTCTAGCACTTTTGTCCTTCAAGAGCCATGCTTGCCTCTCCCCTAAGAAGTTGTTGGTGTTTTCATCCTGCCTTTATTTGATTAATTTTTAAAAACAAGTGCTACTGGCCTAGAAGTAAGACTCAGCGTCCTCTCCGGAAACTTAAGTGGGGACAGGACCCTCTCTGGCCCCACTGACCCAGTTAGGCTCCCAGTTCCATAATTTTCCTCCTGGGCTGCTTCAAACACAAGGGAATGGAAAATTTCCAACCTGTGATTACATCTCCCTAGGCTTCCAAAGGTCATTTGCACATGCAAAGCCTCTCTGATAACTTCTTCAGCAGTGGCTGAGATACAGTGAATTCACCCCTTTCTATTGTCCCCTCCTCTCTGCAGTGTGTTCTGAGATCACTCACTGGTCTGGTACCCCTCACTCTCCAGCTCCTCCCTCTAGTGGCTTCAAAGGAGCTTGGAATTCGGGGTGTTCTTGTAGTACCTTTTTGCTTGCAGTCATCTTTGCCCAACATGGCCATATTCTAGCCTTCCCTGACCCCCACATGAAAGGGCACACTGCCGGTTTTACTTTGTTAGTTGTGGGGAAAGGGGAGGAGGGAATCCAGAAGAGGGATGTCTTTTTTTTTTTTCCTGTGATGGCCCCTTTGACTTTTATTTTCAGCCAAACAGGACTTTGGGAGAGTACCTGATCTCTTTGAGCTTCAGAATCCACTTATCCTGAGCTTCCAAAGGTATTCTTTCAAGTCTCTAGGTTTTCTCTGTCTGCTGTGTTTATAAACATGTCCTCCTCTCTGTCTTCCTAGCCGATGTCTTCAAGTTGTTGTGTTCCTTCCTTCCTTTGAGACACATTGTTGTAATAATTCACTTTCAAACCAGCCTCACAAGCCTACTCTACCAATACCGGGCCTCAGCTGGTTCCCTTCCCCTCTGCACTTGAACTAGCTGTCCCGGGAAGAATGTACTTCACATGCCTCACTGCAATCTCTCATTCCATTGATGTCAATAAATAAGTCCCCTCGTTCTCTCAAGCATCTCTCTCTAGTGATTCCAAATTTTAACATCCCTTGTTTAGTCCTATTTGCCTGCTCTGGTGGCTATGAAACATTCTTTCTGTTACGTTTAAATTCATTAAAGACTCACAGGTCTGGGGATGTCTTTGCCATTGTTGTTTATATTTGCTCTCCTTCTCTGGCCGTGTGGTCCCTCTGACTTTTGTCCGTCTTGCTTTTATATACCATCACCCCTACATATGCCAGCCCATCTTTCATGTGTCCCCAATCTGGTCTGTTCTTCCCATAACTGCCTGTCCTACTCTGGCCTAGAAGTCCCTCTGGCCTCTAAGGAGCCATTTAGACCCAAGATTTACTCGTTTGCATCCTGACTCAGTTATTCCATTCTCAGCATAACAGAAGAGTCTGCTTACTGTGGCTTTTCAGGCTTCCTGTTCATGTGGGCTCTCCCCTCCTGCCCGTCTCTTCCCACTGGATGGTCCTAGCTTCCCACTCTCTTTGCTCAGTGGCCTCAGCCTCAGCCTCCATTATTAGAGTCAGCAGCTCGAACCATCTGGAGCAAGGTTTCCGTCAGGCAAGTCAAGACTAGCTGCCTTCGCATAGGGTTTTTCTGCTGCAGAAGGTCCCCATAGACCCTGCTGTCTGGGTAACCGACGCTCTTTCTGCGTGGAAACTCACCATCCCCTTTGTCTCCCTGGAGGGCAGCAAAGCAGAAAAGAGGGGAAGAAGAGGGATAAAGAGGAAAAAGAGGGGCTGGTGGAGGCGTGGAGCGGGAGGAGGGTTGTGAGCAAAGAGGCAGGAGCATTGTTTTACCCTACTGCTCCCCACTCCTGTCCCCCCAGGCTGCTGGCCCAGCGGCAGCAACACTCCTTTGGTCTGCATGGGGTGGCATGCGTGGGTACAGAGGTCCACCTCTCCCTCTGCTCCTTGGACTTCTATCGTGCCAATGACACCACCAGGTGCCCTGGGGGTGCCCCTGCGGTGGTGAGTTGTGTGCCGGGTCCTCTCTACACAACATCCAGTGGCCAGAAGAAGCAACAACAGTCGAAATCTCAGGGAGAGGTGTGTGAGACAGCGACTATGACCTTCCCCGCCCCAGGTGGAGAGCCCCCCTAGCCCAGCTACCCCTAAGCACAGCCCTGACCTTTAAAGACGGAGAGGAACCTTCCAGCGGTTGGGCCACAGACCTGAGACGCCCACCCCCCATCCCTTCTACCATTCATCTCCAGGTCTGCTCAGCCCTCTCTGTGCTGATGTTCCCATTCACTGCCACTGGACTGTCTCTCTTCTCTATAGGCCCGAGTGCGTCTAAAGGGTGGGGCCCACCCTGGAGAGGGCCGGGTGGAAGTCCTGAAGGCTGGCACATGGGGCACAATCTGTGACCGCAAGTGGGACCTACAGGCAGCCAGCGTGGTGTGCCGGGAGCTGGGCTTCGGGAGTGCTCGAGAGGCTCTGAGTGGTGCCCGCATGGGGCAGGGTGAGGGAGATGAAGGCGGGAGGGTCAGGGAAGGAAGATGTACACGCCCTGAGGGGATATAACCCTTGGGATAAAGGAGACCCCTGGACAATGAAGGCCCAGTTACAACCGCCTGATCTTTGGCCTTTGACCTTAGGTATGGGTGCCATCCATTTGAGTGAAGTTCGATGCTCTGGACAGGAACCCTCCCTCTGGAAGTGCCCCCACAAGAACATCACAGCTGAGGACTGTTCCCATGGCCAGGATGCTGGAGTCCGATGCAACCTGCCCTACACTGGGGTAGAGACCAGGGTCAGTCATACTTTCCACCTTGGCTCAGGTATCTCAGATCTTGTCAAGTTCTGGTCATGCTCTGCAGCATGATGGCACCTAGACCACTGCCCTAGGCCCCTGCAGTCCTGCAGCCCCCACCTGACACCACCACTGCTTGCCCTTTGTGTGCCTCTGAGTCACCCCTCAGCCACATGCCTGCTACAGACTCCCACTGCCCTGCCCCAAAAGCTTTGCCAGCTCTTCCCTTCTGTCACTACAGATCCGACTCAGTGGGGGCCGCAGCCGATACGAAGGGCGAGTTGAGGTGCAAATAGGGGGACCTGGGCCCCTTCACTGGGGCCTCATCTGTGGGGATGACTGGGGGACACTGGAGGCCATGGTGGTCTGTAGGCAACTTGGACTGGGCTACGCCAACCATGGCCTGCAGGTGAGTGGGAAGGAGAGAAGAACCAAGGTTATTGCCTCCAAAGCTGTGTTTGGGGCAGAGGACTGTGGAACTGAGTCCTTTGGCCCTGGAGGCTGGATCGTGGGGCCTCACAAAAACACCTGCATATGTCCCCAGGAGACCTGGTACTGGGACTCAGGGAATATAACCGAAGTAGTAATGAGTGGAGTGCGCTGCACAGGGACTGAGCTGTCCCTGGACCAATGTGCTCATCATGGCACCCACATTGCCTGCAAGAGGACAGACACCCGTTTCACTGCTGGAGTCATCTGTTCTGAGAGTGAGTGGAGAGCCAGCCAGGGAAGGGAGATTCTGGGCCACTCCTTTCTGAGAAAGAGAAAGCTATAATATGGAGGGGTACTCCTTCCCTGTAAAAAAAACAACCAGCTCATACACTCTACCAAGGGGCAGAGGTAAAAGCACCCCCATCTGTCCCCACGCTTCGGCAGTGACTTCTAACACTCCCCTTCCTTCCTGGGTGCAGCTGCATCCGATCTGCTGCTGCACTCAGCACTGGTGCAGGAGACCGCCTACATCGAGGACCGGCCCCTGCACATGCTCTACTGCGCTGCGGAAGAGAACTGCCTGGCCCACTCAGCCCGCTCAGCCAACTGGCCTTACGGCCACCGCCGGCTACTCCGATTCTCCTCCCAGATTCACAACCTGGGACGAGCTGACTTCAGGCCCAAAGCTGGGCGCCACTCTTGGGTGTGGCACGAGTGTCACGGGTGAGTGGGTCTAGTAGAAGAGCAGGGCCACTGGGGACAGGGTGAGTCTGCTGGGGGCAGAAAATGAAACAGGTCTCCTCGTCTTGTCCCCACAGGCATTACCACAGTATGGACATCTTCACTCACTATGATATCCTGACCCCCAACGGCACCAAGGTGGCTGAGGGCCACAAAGCTAGTTTCTGTCTAGAAGACACCGAGTGTCAGGAGGGTAAGTTGGGGCCTGGGATGGACAACAGTACCTCCATCCAACAACCTTGCTTCACACTGATATATGCCATGCCAATCCCTTCAGATGTCTCCAAGAGGTATGAATGTGCCAACTTTGGAGAGCAGGGCATCACCGTAGGTTGCTGGGATCTCTACAGACATGACATTGACTGTCAGTGGATTGACATCACAGATGTGAAGCCAGGAAACTACATTCTGCAGGTGCCTGGGGTCTGAGATGTCCTGCTAGTAAGTGGGAGGAGTGTTTATTAAAGACACCTTTGAATTGTGTTGCCTTTCTCCTCCTCACAGGTGGTCATCAACCCCAACTTTGAAGTAGCAGAGAGTGACTTCACCAATAATGCAATGAAATGTAACTGCAAATATGATGGACATCGCATTTGGGTGCACAACTGCCACATTGGTATTTGGGGGGAAAGAGCAGCCCAGGAAGACTGGGCAATGGGAGGGAAAGGCCTTCATTCTCTTCCCCCTAAATTGTCTTCCCATCCACCTCTGGACCTCCTGGCCTCTCCACGTCTACCCACCCTCCCCCACAATGGCTGTTTTCCTGCCCAAACCGTCCATTCACTTTACAGGTGATGCCTTCAGTGAAGAGGCCAATAAGAGGTTCGAGCGCTACCCCGGCCAGACCAGCAACCAGGTCATTTAAGGTGCCAATACCCACCTCTTCAAACCTCCACTGGCCCCTAATGGCAGGGGTCTGAGGCTGCCATTACCTCAGGAGCTTACCAAGGAACCCCTGATGTCAGCAGGCCCACCGCACGCATGCACTGTGCATTACAGATGTGGAACCGTCAAGCAGAAGTTATCATCCTCTTTCCTAGTCCAGCTGTCCAGATCTGTGACCAAGCATGGGGAATCTTGGCTCCCAGGCCCAGCACTGAGCTGAGCTCACCATAAAGAGCAGCCCCTGATTAACTGGGCAGAACAACCAACAGCAGCAGCTCATTTTCTTGAATAGGGAGGACAGGATGGTCAGCTGCAGTATATCCCCAGTTTGGGGGGGGGAATACAGCTTTACCTCTAGCCTTTTTGTGGGAGAGAAGATCAGCAACCCCTCCCTCATTTTTGACTATAACATGTTGCTAGGTATAATTTTATTTTATATAAAAAGTGTTTTTGTGATTCCTCAAAGCCCAGGGATTGATGCTGGTGGTTGGAGGGACCTGCCCCCCACTGGTTCGTGTATCCCTCTGTCCAGGTGCCCTCAGAGCCTAGGCCAGGAAAGCAAGTGGAAATCAAAGCAGGAGCCCCATACTCTTGCTGATCCATTCATTCTGTAACTTCAGGGGTCACATATAAGGTCAGTGTTTCCGTTCCCCGCCGGATCCGCACTGCCAGCTGGGATTGGGTTCGAACAGCTTCATAAATATCTTCAGCATTCTTTACCAGCTGCTCCCCAATGGCCAAGATCACATCACCTGGCCGCAGACCAGCCCTATGGCAAAAGGTGAACAGAGAGAAAGGAGGGAGTAGATAGCCCGATTTAAGGGCACGTGCACACCTCACCCATCTCTACCTCACAGTGCAGTCTCTCCCTCACCGGTGTGCAGGGGAGTCCAGGATGACTTTATGGATGAGCACACCATGCTGAACATCAGGAAAGCTTGGTTCTCGAAGCTGTAGTTCAGCAAGGATGCTGAAAGGACACAGATCACCCTGTTAACCACACCAACGTGCTCTCCCCATTTTGGGTTCACCTTAAATATCTCATCAACTCACTGACAACTGCATGGTCAGGGAATGCACTAGGTACTCCAGATACGAAGACAATTTACTTTCTGCCTTCTAGTAGTTAGGAAGTTGGACATGCAGAGAAAAGGTACCTAATTCCACATAACACATAATGTTAAATCAATAGAACTAATCTCATTCTAGAATACAAAGAGAAGCTTTAAAGCGTAGAACTTAAGCTGAGCCTAGAAGGTGGGCCTGATATTAAACTATATAAATAAAGAATAATATAAATAAAAACCTGTAACAGGAAATCAGGTTGGCTGGAACAGGTTATAGTCATGAAGGAAGCCAGGTATGGAAAATGGAAAATGCCCCCTAAACACCAGGTTAATTGACTGAAGCTTTTAAATCAAAGCAGTAATGAAATGAAATCAATCTGGTGGCAGTTGTGCAAAGTGGAATGGAGTGAGAAAGTCAAGAGGATGAGGGAAGACAGCTCTTTTGATAGTTCCAAGTGTGAGGCAGTTCACCATAGATAAAGATAGAAGTTTCTGAGAACAAAGCTCAACAGAAATACCATTTGCCCACCAGTGGTGGCCCTACAGATCAATACCTCTAAAGCTCATACCTGGGAGTCAGGGTCAACATCATCACCCCAATGTAGCGGCGCTTGGACCCACTGGTTCCAAACCAAGAATCTGATAAAGAGACAAATGAGCCCCACCCAGTTACATCCTTCCTTCCCCTCTCTCCTCCCAATAGACCCTTCTCCAGCAAGGCCCAATAAATGTCCCTCCCCACCCATCCCCCACAAGACAGGCTCACTCTTCTTTTCTCCACGATGCAGAAACTCTCGAAGGCGATCAGAAGGGATAGCAAAGGAGATGCCAGATGTGACCTTCATGGTATTCACTCCAATCACCTCTCCATCCTGCAGGGACAGAGTGAACTATTCCCTAGCCTGAATAAATAGAAGATGGGGTACCTAAACAAGAACAGCAGGAAGCATTGGGGAATTGGGGAGATCTGGTTGGATTCTGGGAGACAGCTAACAAGGGACTGTTCAGAAACTTGACCAAACGTCACTGAATTAGGGAAAAGCCCACCTCTTCCCACACTGACCTGGGGCAGGGATTCTTGGAAAGAAGGATGTCCCACTCACCAGGTTAACCAGGGGACCTCCGGAATTTCCAAACTGCAGAACAAGGAGAAAATATGGGAGAGATCCAGGGACTCTATGCCTGAGAGCATACCAGGATGTAGACGTTTACTCCAAATTCTACATTTTTGTAGCCCAACCTCCATATAGCATAGGCTTATCCACCTTCTATCACACTTAGTGCCTACACCATATGGCCTCTGTCCCTCCCCCACCTAGACTGTCATTTTTCCTCTATCAGTACGCACATCAATAGCTGCATCAGTCTGGATATATTCCACATTGGTTTGCGGGAGGCCCAGATCTTTGGCTGGACGCTGAGCAGAGCTGACGATGCCAGATGTGATCGTGTTCTGCAGTGCAAAGGGACTTCCCATGGCAACAACAAACTCCCCTTGCCTAACATCCGCTGAGCGCCCCAGGGGCAGTGTGGGGAGGGGTTCCTAAAGGAGAATGGGTACAAAGGACCTGTTATCTGGAGACAAGAGCAAATTCAGAGCCCCAACCAGACCTGGTTTGCCCAGATCCCCACCTTGGTCTGAATCCTCAACGTGGCAATGTCTGCCACTGGATCCACAGCTGTGACCATAGCTTCATACGTGTCCCCGCTAGGCAGCCTCACACGGACTCGGCGCCTATCAGCCACCACATGGGCGTTGGTAACGATGAGCCCGTCCGCAGCCACCACGAATCCTGAGCCATTCGAGATAGGAACTTCGCGCCCCGAGAAAGGGTGCCTGGAATGGGGGAGAGCACGGATGTGAGGAAGTCGGCCTCCTCCTGCTCGCCTGCCCAGCCCGCGACTTCGGTGCCTCCTGGTCTACCCCACCGTTACCGGCCCAGAATCTCGATATAAACCACAGCAGGTGCAGTCTTCTCCACCACGTCTGCAATGAAGTTGTACTGGCTCCGGGGAGAGGTGGGCGGCGAGCCAAGGACAGAGGCAAGGACAGCCGGGGGACCCCGCCCCCCGCCCCACAAAAGCAGCAGCACTGCCCCCCCAGCGCCCAGTGCCACCGCCAGCCACACGCGCAGACAGGCTCCAGGGGTCCCTGAGTCCTCCTGGGTCTGATGCTCTGGGGTCTCCGCAGTCAGCCGTGCTCGGGAATCCGAAGTCCCCGACGTCGCGCATGTTCGTGGTCCAGGGACCCCCACAGAGAACTTGGCCCGGAGACTGGGAGTCCCATAAGTCACTCCGGCCCGAGGGTCGGCAGTTCCTGACGTCAGCAAGGCCCGGAGGTCAGGGGTCAACAGGGGTGCCTTCCCCCAAAGAACCCCCCCAAAAGCTCGCCATCTCCGAAGGCTCCAGCCTGCACCCCGCCCCGCCCTCAGTGCAGCCATCAGCTCCGCCTCGGCTGCCTCTTCGCCCGCCCTACACAGAGGCGGCGCCCTGGACGTGAGCTGGTGGACTGCGGGACGCAGGGCACGCCGGTACCTGAAGTCCTCCAGAAGTGCACGCTGGGACCAGGATTCCGGGAAGCCGACTCCGCCCCGCCGCCCAGCGAATGCCGGGAACTGTGGTCCCTGCGGGCCACGAGCTCTGAGGTGGCCTAAGGGCTCGCGAGGCATGATGGGGCTATAGCCCTTCCGGGGCGCCTAGGGATTTCGAGTGCCCGCACCCTGGGCCGACGCCCCGAGACTCCGCCTTCCCAGGAGCCCTTGCGGCGGGTCGCGAAGATGGCGGCGGCGGCAGTGGCGGGATACCCCTAAAGCAACCGCGATGGAGCCTCCGCCAGCGCCGGGGCCGGAGCGGCTCTTTGACTCCAACCGGTAAGGGCTCAGACGGGGAAAGGCCGGCTCTCGCGTCCACTTGGCCTTCGGCGCCTGATCACCTCGCCTCTCGCCCTCAGGCTCCCAGGTGACGGCTTCCTGCTCCTCGCGCTGCTGCTCTACGCGCCCGTCGGTTTCTGCCTCCTCGTCCTGCGTCTCTTTCTTGGGATCCACGTCTTCCTAGTGAGCTGCGCGCTTCCAGACAGCGTCCTTCGCAGGTTCCGACCCGGGCGCTCGGGGAGGGTCAGGGCTGTGTCCAGCCCGAGGCGGTGCAGTCACTACTGCCTGCGTCCCCAGGTTCGTGGTGCGGACCATGTGTGCGGTGCTGGGGCTCGTGGCCCGGCAGGAGGACTCCGGACTCCGGGATCACCGCGTCAGGGTCCTCATTTCCAACCACGTGACACCTTTCGACCACAACATAGTCAACTTGCTCACCAGTTGTAGCACCGTGAGTGGGGGTCGAAGACGAGTTGCGCCACTGGCGGTCCCCTGGGGCCCAGCTCAAGGCTACCCTCTGCCCACCCCGTTTTCCCATGGAGACCACGAGTTACTGAGCCTTCCCCCCTAACCCCGCTTCTATACCCCATATGTCAGTTTTATCACTTCCCAACATTCTTTTCTTCTTGCTTTCTATCTTCCCTGTTCCCAGCCTCTACTCAATAGTCCCCCCAGCTTTGTGTGCTGGTCTCGGGGCTTCATGGAGATGGATGGGCGGGGGGAGTTGGTGGAGTCACTCAAGAGATTCTGTGCTTCCACGAGGCTTCCCCCCACCCATCTGCTGCTATTCCCTGAGGAAGAGGCCACCAATGGCCGGGAGGGGCTCCTGCACTTCAGGTGGGTGAGCACAGGTACTAGTTTCCAAATGCATAGGTAGTCAGGCTTGGGAGCCCTTAGGTTTTCACAACCTTCTTCAGCCCGAACCCCTCCATTCCTAGTTCATTTCTTTTTGGTTCTTTCCCCTGAATCCCTTCATTCCCCATCTATCTACTTGGGCAGTTTGACAGTTTCCTGTTTTAAGTCGGGGGAAAAGCTGCTGACTAGTCTGGCTGGAATCCCATTCTACTCTCTTCCTTCTAGTTCCTGGCCATTTTCTATCCAGGATGTGGTACAGCCTCTTACCCTTCGAGTCCAGAGACCTCTAGTCTCTGTGGTGAGTGAACATTGGACAGGGAATCTTTGGGGCTTGGGAGAAAGTTTCCCATTCCTGGCCCTGACTTAGATCTCACTTCATGCCTTTTTCTCAGACGGTGTCAGATGCCTCCTGGGTCTCAGAACTGCTGTGGTCACTATTCGTCCCTTTCACGGTGTATCAAGTAAGGTATTAACTGTCCTTACTTTTTGATGGCTGGGAAAAGCTCACTTTAAGGTCAAGAAAGTAGTTGCCTCTGCACTGTCCATTTGTAGATCTTTTAACATCAAGGCTCCATCACAGACACAATACAAAGTATTTACACTCTCTCCATCCTTAATACCACTGTCCCATGAAAAGAGGTATCAAAGTAGGGAAACGGTGACAGCCTCTACCCCGGTGCCCTCAACACGGCCCTGACTTTTATTTTGCAGGTGGCTCCGTCCTGTTCATCGCCAGCTGGGGGAGGGGAATGAAGAGTTTGCTCTTCGTGTACAACAGGTGATTGGGTACACAGGCAGGGTGGAGGTGGGGTCTTTCTTAAACAGAAGAGGGGGAAGGCTTGAGAGTGATGCTCCCAACCTTCCAATTCTTCCTAGCTGGTGGCCAAAGAATTGGGCCAGAGAGGGACACGACTCACTCCAGCAGACAAAGCAGAGCACATGAAACGACAGAGACACCCCAGATTGCGCCCGCAGTCAGGTGTGTAGTCTCTGTACACACAGCTTCCCCCCACCCCCAACATGTTGTGATTTTCTCCTTATTCCTGTGCTAGTCAGCCTCTCCTTCCTCATTCTCTACTAACCACATTTTGGATTTCTTCTTTGCAGCCCAGTCATCTTTTCTTCCCTCCCCCAGCCCTTCTCCTGATGTGCAGCTGGCAACTCTGGCTCAGAGAGTCAAGGAGGTTTTACCGCATGTGCCACTGGGCGTCATCCAGAGAGACCTGGGTATGGGAAAGGGTAGACAGGCACAGAGAGGAAAGGTGGGTGGTATGGGGAGATGGTGAACAGGGAAACATCCCCTCTCCTCTTTTTCCTTCTCCCCAGCCAGGACTGGATGCGTAGACTTGACCATCACCAATCTACTTGAGGGAGCTGTAGCTTTCATACCTGAAGACACCACCGAGGGGACCCAGTCCCTCCCCACAGCCTCTGCCCCTAAGGTGGGACCCAGGAAGTGGTCAGATCAAAGACATGGGGGTGAGATAGGGCAATCTATGTACTCCTTATCCTGATGTCTCTTTTTTGATCCTGAGACCCTAGCACAGTGCCTCTCTTGCAAAGTAGGCATTCGATGCGTGTTTAATGATGATGACTTCGCAAGCCCTCTGACATTGTGATCACCTCAGTTCCCCAGCTCTGGCCCGATGCCTCAGCCCACAGCCATAACATTTGCCAAGTCCTCCTGGGCCCGGCAGGAAAGCCTGCAGGAGCGCAAGCAGGCACTGTATGAATACGCGAGAAGGTGAGGGGCTTAGAGGACAGTGGGTAGGAAGGGGCAAGTTGAAGGGAGCTAATAATGGAGCTAGTATGTAATGCGGCAAAGCCCACACAATGTCTTTTCCCTATGTCCCACAGGAGATTCACAGAGAGACAGGCCCAGGAGGCTGACTGAGTACAGGATGGCACCCAGAGCCGCAGGACGGAGACTAGGGACAGCCCTCACCCAACTCACAACAGACCGGATGGGTGGGTGGTAGAAAGGGAAAGATGGGGCTCCCCCCCAATATCACATTAAATTCAGGGTTTTCACTCAAGGTCTCTGTTGCCTCTCTGGGTCTAAAAAGCCCCTTACTCAGGATCCTTTTTGTTCAGTTGTGGGCAATGGGGATGAGGCCTCCTTGTAGTTCTGTAGCAGGCAATCAGAATGAAACTGTTGGAAATCACCTCTTCACATCAAGAGATGAGTGGCATTAACAAAGTGTAACTAAACTGAAGATCCAACAGCGACTGGACATAGCTGGGGTGTTGAGCCCAGGTTTGTGAAAGAAACAACTTGCAAAACCGCAAGTCCCAGGCCCTGACCACTAGTGTGGCTCGGTTGGGTGTCACCCCACAAAGTAAAGGGTCATCAGTTCGATTCCTAGTCCAAGCACATGCCTGGGTTGTGGGTTTTGTCCCCAGATGGGGTGCCTATGAGAGGAAATCAACATGTTCCTCCCCCTCCCTTCCTCCCTCCCTCCTGCTCTCTAAAAATAAATAAAATATTTTTTTTAAAAAAAACAAAAATACAAGTCCCAGGATGCCTTTCACAGCACATAGTGTCTATAGAGTTCACACATGCCCAGTGGGGTGGCTGGGGCCTGTTTTACGTAGGCTCCTGACTGGGTTAAATAAGGCGGAGCAAATGGCTCCACCCCAAAAGCAATCTTTAGAATTTCCTTTGAACCAACCCCCAGGGTGGAGCCGGAACTTACCTTTGTACTTCATGCTGCTCAAGGTTGGTGATAATTAGCCTGGTGGTTCTGGAACTGGCTGCCATTCTGACACGTCTCAGAGCTACAAGCAGGTTTGAATCCAGGATCCTTGTGGCCCTTCTCCCCAATTCGTGCTCCCTCTTATTCTCTATCTTTTTCCCTTGGGGTCCTTCCCACAGATCTAATTCCTGCTGCCTCTGAGAGCCCCTGTGTCAGTCACAGGATCTTTTCTACCTGACTACAGGGTAATCCACTTTTGGTAGTTCTTGGAGACTAAAGTCTCCACTTTTCCTAGCAGGCAAGAAGTGCTGGGAAGGATGGATCCTTGTGCATTATCAACTGGGTACAGGTGAGGGATCGGGGCTGAGATGGGAAGATGGTATTAAGCCTTAACTGCCCTGCCTTCTGTAGGTCCAACCAGTGAGGCACCATGGCCTCTCAGCTTCCTGGGCTGGCAGAAGAGTCTGGCCTGAGCCCTGGGGAGTCTGAACTGGCTGTGAACCCCTTTGACGGGCTCCCCTTCTCTTCTCGTTACTACGAACTGCTTGAGCAGCGCCGAGCCTTGCCCATCTGGGCTGCTCGCTTTATCTTCTTGGAGCAATTGGAGAGTAGCCCCAGTGGAGTTGTGCTGGTGTCTGGAGAGCCTGGCTCTGGCAAGAGCACCCAGGTGTGGGGGGTGGCTGTTCAATTCTGGGAGTGGACAAGGGGAGGGCCTAGGGAACTGGCCATTCCCTGTGCAAGGGGGGATTGGGCTGCCAGGGGCTATGGGAGAGGTAGGCAAAGGGAGTTGGGTTGGGCTGGCCCCAGGGAGCTGAAGGACCAGGGTACACCCCCAAATAAGGAGAGATTAAACCGGCCATAGCTCCCCAGCTCCCATTGCACTTCTGATGGAAGTTCTGTGTCTTGATGGCTGGTTGTCCTTCCCTACCCCTATCCCAGATCCCTCAGTGGTGTGCAGAATTTGCGCTGGCCAGGGGGTTCCAGAAGGGCCGGGTAACTGTTACTCAGCCCTACCCTCTGGCAGCCCTGAGCCTGGCCCTGCAGGTTGCTGATGAGATGGACCTGACCCTGGGTCATGAGGTTGGCTACAGCATCCCCCAGGAGGACTGCACCGGGCCCCATACCCTGCTCAGGTGAGGCCTTTTGCAGGCCTGATTAAAAGCTAAAACTCTTCATCCAGTAGAAATAAGCCTAGTCCTATGACATCTCACCATACGCTCTCAGTCTAGCTCACCATCCCCGCCTCCCCCCAACTTTTTTAAAAATATGAACACTTCACAAATTTGCATGTCATCCTTCCACAGGGGCCATGCTAATCTATGTATTGTTTCTATTTTAGTGTATGTACTGCCAAACTGAGCACCCACCTACCCTTTAAATCGTGTATTATGCATGATTTATACGATGCTGAATTAGGCTCTTTAACCCCAGCCTGAACCTCAGACATTCATCTTCACCCTCATCACAAAAGTCTTACTTTCCCAGCTGGAGTACAGCTTCCGAACAAAGGGTCGTCAGTGAGGTTGTGGGTCGCTGTTAAGGGTCCACAGGCTCAGGAGTTCAGTCATGGTCTCTTTCTCGGACCGTAACTATCAAAATCTAGGGTCCTTGGGGAGAAGCTCCCCTGGACATCTGGGACTGATCAGTGTCCACACTGACTCCCCTGCCCACTGCCAATGTCAACAGGTTTTGCTGGGACAGGCTGCTTCTTCAGGAGTTGGCCTCGACCCGGGGCACTGGAGCTTGGGATGTGCTGGTGCTGGATGAGGCTCAGGAGCGGTCAGTGGCTTCAGATTTGCTCCAGGGGTTGCTGCGAGATGCCAAGCTGGGAAACCTTCCACAGGACCCCAGAGTGGTTGTGGTTACTGACCCAGCCCTTGAACCTAAGCTCCAAGCCTTCTGGGACAATCCTCCTATTGTACATGTACCCAGAGGGCTTGGTAGGTGTCCTACTCCCATCTATATGGACACTGTCCCTGCTGATCGAGTGGAAGCTGCCTGCCAGGCTGTGCTTGAATTGTGTCGAAAGGAAGCTCCAGGAGATGTGCTAGTGTACCTGCCCAGTGAGGAGGTAAAAAAAACAGGCTGCAAAAAGAGGTGCTCCTTACACTACCTTCCTGTCCTGGGGGGGAATGGGAGCACTGCTTATTAGAAACACTGGAATTACAGTATTCATTCTGTTGGGATCCTGAGGAAAAACTCAAGGATTTCAGGTGAAGAGGTCTGTCTAATGCAGAGATTTGTGGTTCAGTGAATTCCTGAACTTATAACACCCCCAACTTTTATGAGCATATGCATTTTTTCAGAGTGAAGGCCATAGCTTTCCTAAGTTTTTCAAAGGATCTATTACTCAAAAAGGTGAGAATTTCCCTAATGCCCCATTCCTCTCCTCAGGAAATTTCCCTGTGCTGTGAATCCTTGTCCAGGGAGGTAGGGGCCTTGGCTACCCAAGGGCCTCCGCCACGGGTGCTGCCCCTTCACCCAGGCCATGGTCAAGCTGTTCAGGCTGTGTATGAGGACACAGACTCGGGTGCCCGCAAGGTTGTGGTCACTCACTGGCTGGCTGACTTCTCCTTCTCCCTCCCTTCCATTCGCCATGTCATTGACTCAGGACTGGAGCTTCGAAGTGTGAGTGACAGAGGTGAGGGGGTGTGGGAGCTAAAGGAATAAATGGCCGGGTCTGATCTGTCTTGGCCTTGGTTGGGGGCGGTGACAGGTGTACAGTCCTCAGATCCGAGCAGAATCCCAGGTGTTGAGGCCAATCAGCAAGTGTCAGGCAGAGGCAAGACAACTGCGGGCAAGAGGGACCCCCCCAGGTAAGAGCCTTTGCCCTCACTGAGATCAACCACGCAGCCCTGAGAAATCTACAGTGGTCTTTCCCAGGTCTTTCTCCCCTCAGGATCCTGCCTCTGTCTGTATCCTAAGTCCTTCCAAGAACTGGAAGCTCCCCCACTGCCCCAACCCAGAGTATGTGAGGAGAATCTGAGCCCCCTCGTGTTACTGCTGAAAAGGAGACAGATTGCAGAGCCAGGGGAGTGTCACTTCCTGGACCGGCCTGGTGAGCCCCACTCCTGCCCAGGCCCTGCTCTCAGACCACCAGGCTCTGAAACTCTGTGCTATGTAAGCCCTGTTTCCTCATCAGCTCCAGAAGCACTGATGCAGGCCCTGGAGGACTTGGACTATCTGGCAGCCCTGGATGATAACGGGGACCTGTCAGACCTGGGTGTCATCCTGTCAGAGTTCCCTCTGCCCCCTGAGTTGGCCAAAGCCCTGCTGGCCTCGTGCGAGTTTGGCTGTGTGGATGAGATGCTCACTCTCGCTGCCATGCTCACCGGTATAACTCCTCTCTCCCCGGCTCCTTCACCTCCTTCATTCCTTCCCCTTGTTTTGGTGCTCCAAAGGCTAGCGCTTTCCCCTGTGCTCCAGTGTCCACCTCTCACACACCTGCCTACAGAACCAGGTTTAATCCGTTAGCCCTCTCTTGTCTCTTTAGCCATTTCCTTCTCCTGGTTCTTCCTCTCAACATGCTTAAATCTCTATCTGTTATTGCTAAAATCCACACCCGTCTTTCTCAACCCTGCACTCCCCTTCAGCTAGACAGCATGATCTATCCTATTCCAGCCAGTCCTCATCCACTGCATTCCAGCTTGCAGTCCACCACAACACTGAGACAGCCTTCTGCTCATCAGTGACTTCCCAAAGACCTAGCCAATGAACACTTGTGAGCCTTATTCATGACCTTCTTTTGACACTTCAGATAGTCAACCTCTCCCACCTTGATACTGCCCCCACTAAGCTTCTGTGAATGCTCCCCATATTTTTCATCCTACCACACTGCCCATTCCCTTAATTTCTTTCGTGGGCTCTTCATCTTCCTTTCTTTCATCTTCATCATCTTTCTTGGGCTCATCCACTATAAACTGGACCTCAGAGTTTTCTATTCTTGCACCTTTTGTCTTATTCCCTGAACTCTCCTAAGCAAGTGATCCACACCTGTGGTCTGAAGGGCCACCTTCACACTTAAATTTTCTAAACCTTGTACCTCCCTGTCAATAGCATTCTTATAAACTTTAGATTTTTATATCCAATTCCTGATGAACATTTCTAGCAGAATAGTCCTCAGTACTTCAGCCTAGAACTAAACTTGACCACTTTCTTAAGTGACCTTCTCAGCATCACCACCACAAAATCACACCATCATTTCTGCTCCATTACCATCATTCTAGATTAATCTTTCTCCAGATTCTTTCATTTTTATCTTCTAAAGTTTTTTAATTAATCCTCTCTCCTCCATACTCACTGTCAGTGCTACTGTTAGGTCCTGTCACTGCACAGTTGGATCCCTTCAGTAGCCTCCTAATTAGTCATGTGAACTTATTCAAACACATGGACTCTCTTATTTAAAAACTCTTCTCCAACAGCTATTCTTTACCTTCCAGACAGAATGTAAAACTCATTTGCCCAGCACATCCAGCCTCTCATGATCTGACCCATACCTACCCCTTTCCCAGCATTATCTCCTATAAACCCACCATACAAGCTCTATCAGCCACCCAAACTAGGTGCTTGCAATTCATGCCATGCTACTAACTTGCTGTTCCCACTGTCTAGAATCCCCTCTCTACCCCTTCTCCACTGAGCTTATTCCTACTTAAACTTGTTAGTCTCTCACCAAACTCCTTGAGGACAGAGACTGCTTTTCATTTATCTTCAATGTCTAATAAAGTGCATAGCATGTAGAAGTTATCAATGTCTTTTTTTATGGCAGCATTTTTTGGAAAGATTTTATTTTTTTAAAAAAAGAGGGGAAGAGAGGAAGAGAGGGAGAGAAACATCAATGTGAGAGAGAAACATCAACTGGTTGCCTCTCACACACCCCAAACCACCCCCAACTGGGGACCTGGCCCACAACCCAGGCATGTGCCCCACCTGGGAACCAAACTGCAACCTTTTGGCTCACAGTCTGGCACTTAATCCACTGAGCCACACCATCAAGAGCCAATGTCTTTTGAATTAAGTTCCCAAAGTGACATTTCTATCTTTTCACCATTCCACCTGTACTATCCTTTCTCATTCCCCCAAACAACCTTCCTCTCTTCTGCCTCCAGCTGCTCCTGGGTTTACCCATCCTCCACTCTGTGCAGAAGAAGCTGCCTTACGCCGGGCCCTGGAACATGCAGATGGTGATCACAGTTCTCTGATCCAAGTGTATGAAGCCTTTATACAGAGTGAGTGGCCCACTCTACATACTCTTATAAAATCCCAGATTTTCCAAAGGGGACGTGGTTTGCAACCAGCTGACAGATCTCTATGCTCAGGAAGAGGCCAAGGGTTGGGTTCTTTGGGGGGACCCTAAGGACTTTAGCTGTTCCTGGTCCCTTTCTTCTCTTAGATGGAGAAGACAAGGCTTGGTGCGAGGCCCGGGGCCTAAACTGGGCAGCACTGTGCCAAGCCCAGAAACTTCGAGGAGAACTCCTAGAACTTATGCAACGAATTGAACTTCCTGTGTCCCAACCAGCCTTTGGCTCTGAGAAGAATCGCAGAGACCTTCAAAAAGCACTGGTGTCTGGATACTTCCTTAAGGTTAGGGGGAAGAATTGAGGTCATAAACGAAGCAGAAGGCAGAGAGACCAAAGATTGGTATGGGGTTCAGGTGGCCATTCAAAGGATTTTTTAGAACCAGGAGAAACTTTCTTTGAGGCTTTGTGGTACAAGAAACTATGGAAATGTCACATGGTATGGTAGGGACTATAACATCTAGATGTAATGCTTTATTTTAATACTCTCACCACCCTTACTAATTCTTTCTCAGCCTCTTTTCCTTTTTTCTACTATCTACCTCTTATCTCTAACTTATTCCTTCAATTTCTTTGCCTTTCAATGAGGTGGCCCAAGACACAGATGGGACTGGAAACTACCTGCTCCTAACCCATAAGCATGTGGCCCAGCTCTCCCCATACTGCTGCTACCGAAGCCGCCGGGCTCCAGCCAGGCCCCCACCATGGGTGCTTTACCACAATTTCTCCATTTCCAAAGACAACTGCCTTTCCATTGTTTCTGAGGTTCAGCCACAGATGTGAGTTTACTGACATTCCTCCTACGCTGCCCATTCCTCTTCCTGGGGCCAAAATTATGGCTGAGAAGTTAGAGTTTTTAAGAAGAGGGGATCATAATGGTTTGTAGTAACATGATTTGAGAAGACACGGTTTGTGGAAGGGACAGTGAGAAATTTTAAAATCTGCATTATGAGAATATACAGAAATTATCTAATTATGACTTTCTCTCTCAGGCTGGTGGAGTTGGCCCCTCCATACTTCCTGAGTAACCTGCCCCCCAGTGAAAGCAGAGACTTCCTGAACCAGCTGCGGGAAGAAATGGCCGATTCTTCAACAGAGAATGAATCCTCTTCCGCCCAAGAGTTTGGAGATGTCTGTGTCCTCCAGTGACCTGCCTAAGGGATGGAGCAGAACTTATCCCATTGCAGTCAGGCCTCCCTCTGTCTAGCACCAAGGCCACCAGCCAGATTTAGAAGCCAAAAGTTTAGGGTTGAATATAAATCTTAGAACCTGAGTCTCAAGAAATAGTGGACTGGGTGTGAAAGGAATTGGGTAAACCACATATACATAGGGTTGGATCCCTTCCTTAGCCTTGTTTTATTTATTGGAGAGGGACTAACATGCCTCTGTATCCCTAACTTAAGCCAAACCTATCCTTGTGCTCCCTTTTGAGTTATAAAAGTTCTTTTCCTATGGTGCCAAAATTGAGTTTGGTTCTGCACCAGCACACACAACACTCATGAGTTAGAGATGTCACAATATCAAAGACTCAGGGCCAACTCCTCCAGCAATATCCCCTTGCCAGGTTCCCACCTCTGATCAAGACTTTGTGCTTTGGTCCTGACTGGTGTGGCTCAGTGGGTTGAATGTCCTCCAGCAAACCAAGAGGTTGTAATTTGGATTCCTGGTCAGTGCATGTGCCTGAGTTTCAGGCCAGGTCCCTGGTTGGGGGTGTGAGAGAGGCAACAAAGTGATGTTTATTACACCCATGTTTCTCACATGGTTGGTGTTTCTCTCCCTCTTTCTCCCTCAATTACCCTCTCTCTAAAAATAAATAAATTAAGTCATTTTTTAAAAAAAGACTTTGTGCTATAGCAGATCTAGCTGTCACTAGCACAGAAGATGAGTTGTTTGCCTACAGTTGTCCTCTGACCCTGCCTATAGCTTACTTCCTTCTAACACACTGCTCCTACCTCCAGCAAAAGAATAGGGGCACTATAGGAAACAGACAAAATCTTCCCTTTAATTCTCATATAACTTAAATCCTGTTCCTTCTTAAACCTTAAGATTATTGCAATCATTCCCAAACTCTCAACTTTCCATCAAATGGCTTCCCAGCAGCCCCTGGCCCACTCACAAGCTAAAGTCTTTCTAAAAACTTCAAGAACTTCTGGTCAAGATGGTGGCATAGACATGGCTTGCCTCTTTGCACAACCACCTGAAAATTACAACTAAAATATAAAACAACCATCACTCGAAACTGTCAGGAATCAAGTTGAATGGAAGTCTAACAACTACAGAATTAAAGAAACCACATCCATCTAGACTGGTAGGAGGGGTACAAATGAGAAACAGGCTGGTCCCACACCCACATGTGGTGGATAAAAATTCGGGAGGGACATCTCAGAAGCAAGGAGTCCCAGACCCACACCAGGCCCCCCAGCCCAGGGCTCCAGTGCCAGGAAGGTAAGTCCCCATAACTTCTGGCTGCAAAAACCAGCAGGGATTGAGCCAGTGGAAGAAACTTCTGGAGCCTCAAGCAGGTCCTCTTAAAGAACCCACAAACAGACTCACCTACTCAGATTCTCTTCCTCTGAGCTCTAGCACTGGGGTAGCAGCTTGAAAGGTACCAGTGGCATCCTGGGAGAAACTCAAGTGTCTGGCATCAAGGCAAGGAGAGGCCATTGTCCCTTCTCTAAACCTTCCCCCCTCCAGAGCCACAGAGCCAGCAAGCTGGTGCCATATTTGAGACTCCATCGACCTGGCTAATGCTGTTTGATCTGCCATGGAAAGCCCCAGAGACTCTGCCCCACCCAACTTACAGGCTCATGCAAATTGCTTTTCCATATGAATAACCTGTCTTGGCTCATGCTTCACAACTTTCTAAATCCTCTCAAAAGAGTAACAGCTGGCCTCATTGAGCCCTAAACCCAGCACTACCAATAGCCAGCCCAGATTCACAGCTTGGCTTCACCTAGGAATCTCCAAGCCCAGCACAACTAGTAGCCATCTCAGATCGCTTTATAGTTCAGGCAGAATAGCCCCAGGCAAAACACAGGTGGGGGCTGACCTTGGCCTACACTACACAGAAAACCCCAGGGCCAGCACACCCAGTGGACAGCTACAGACCACAACACAGAGCACCACTACCCTGGCCCTGCACAGATGATCCTCCACTGAGGGTAGAGATTGGTGGTCAGTGGTCACAGCCAATGCTTGCAGCTGACTGGCCTGGGTAAATCCCTCCCATTGATCTGCCAACAGCAACCAAGGCTCAACTCTAAGAAGAGGGTGTAGTCAGCCCATATGAAGGATGCACCTCAAGTAACCAGCTTGGGTGATAGGAGAGGCTGTGCCACTGGACCCTACAGCACACCTACTGTATTAGGCCACACTACCAAGACAAAGAGAGTCAAAGCAGCTCTACCTAAAAGAAACAAACAGAGGAAGGCTGCCAAAATGAGGAGACAAAGAAGCATGCCTCAAATGAAAGAACAGATCAAAACTCCAGAAAAAGAGGTAAATGAAATGGAGATAAGCAATCAGATGCAGAATTCAAAACACTGGTTATAAGGTTGCTCAAGGAACTTAGTGAGGATATCAGCAGCATAAAAAAGATGCAGAAAGAAATGAAGGATAAACTAATTGAAATTACAAAAATATTTACAAGGAAACAACAATAGAGTGGATGAAGCCAAGAATCAAATCAATGATTTGCAATATAAGGAAGCAGAAAACAACCACACAGAACAACAAGAAGAAAAAAGAATCCAAAAAATGAAGACAGTGTAGGCAACTTCTGGGACAACTTCAAGCATTCCAACATTCACATCATAGGGGTGCAAGAAGAAGAAGAGAATGGGCAAGAAATTGGAAATCTATTTGAGAAAAATAATGAAAGAAAACTTCCCTGATTTGGTGAAGGAAATAGACATGCAAGTCCAGGAAGCACAGAGAGTCCCAAACATGATGGATGTAAAGAGGCCCACTCCAAGACACAACATAATTAAAATGCCAAAGGTTAAAGATAAAGATAGAATCTTAAAAGCAGCAAGGGAAAAGAAGTTAGTTACCTCTAGGGGTATTCCCATAAGACTGCCTGTTGATTTCTCAGAATAAACTTTGCAGGCTAGAAGGGATTGGCAAGAAATAGTCAGTCATGAAAAGCAGGGACCTACAGCCTGGATTGCTCTACCCAGCAAAGCTATCATTTAGAATCAAAGGGCAGATAAAGAGCTTTCCAGACAAGAAAAAACTCAAGGAGTCATCATCACCAAACCATTATTATATGAAATGTTAAAGGGACTTATTTAAGAAAAAGAAAATCAAAACTATGAACAATAAAATGGCAAAAATACATATCTATCCACAACTGAACCTAAAAAACAAACTAAGCAAATAAGAGACAGAATCTTGAATACGGAGAGCATTTTGATGGTTGCCAGGTGGGAGGACAGTGCGGAGGAATGGGTGAAGAGGTGAGGGGATTAAGAAGTACAAACAGGTAGTTACATAATACCCATTGGGATGTAAAGCATGGTTTGGGAAATGGAGCAGCGAAAGAACTTATGTGCATGACCCATGGACATGAACAATGGTGGAGGGATTGCCTGCAGGAGTGGGGGTTGCTGGGTGGAGGGGGGTAAAGGGGGGAAAAATCAGGACAACTGCAATAGCATAATCAATAAAATATAATTTAAAAAATCAATAAATAAAAACTTCAAGGACATCATGCTTTCCTTTCTTTGCAGCTGGGTACTCCTTTTCCTTTTCTTCCTTTGGAATACTAACTTTGGTATTCTCCATCATCCTGCACACTGTAAATGTGCTTCTTGTAGAATTTGGTGGGAAAAACATATTTAATCCTTAGAACTCTGCTTTTCTCTTCAGAGTTTTCTTTGGAGGTTCTGTCCCCATCATTCCATCTATCTCCACCTTCGTGTGAATGTCAGCCTACTTGCCCGAAAGGCACTTTGCCAGAATTTATTCTCTCTAGGTCTAGCATTTAATTTCGCCTGCAGGGTTCATCTTGCTCCTGTCTTCCCAGTTTCCCCTTCATGGTCCACAACACCATTGATTTCCTGATTCTCTACATTTCCAACCTTGAAATTATCTTTGATTCTTTTTAGGTCTGTCAAATTATTTTCCTAATTATTTCCTAAGTTCTGCTCACCTAGCTCCACTGGGCCCATTAACTTTATCCACTCCTTCCTCCTCTCTCCTCTCTGTCTCAGCGGCATTAGTGTTCCTAATTTTGTCTTTCATCAAGTGAACGATGAAAGAGACACATCTGTCTCCCCAGCCACCCAGGCGCGTTGTGAGGCTCCAGTGGGAAGCCGTAGTCAGGAGTTTCAATACGCACGGACAACATGAGGCTCAAAGTCAGGAAGGAATCCTTAGCGATTATTTTACAGAAGGATGAGATGCCCGACGTGGATAACACTCTGGTTCCCGTCACAGTCAGACTTGTCCTCCAGCACCTCTTACATTACTCCGCTGTCATTCGCGTCTTCCTTCCGTCATCACACCTTTGGTACCGACTCAGCCAGTGCGGGCTGCCCCCATGGCAGCACCACCATCTACCTGTTCTAGCTCCGCACCGTAGTTCCCACCCACCAGCCGAAGAATCGGAGTCCCTCAGGAAAGCATTGGCCAGCCCACCCCCTCCCCGCACCACATCCGCAGGTCCCGCCCTCTCGGCGCCTCAGGTTCCAACAGCCGTAAGACGGCACAAGTGGAAAACGCCTGCGGGACAGGCCGCGTCTCGGCCTGCGGGGCCACCGTGCCGTGCTGCCCTGGGTGGGAGCCCGCGGTGGCGAGGAGCCCTCGACGAGAGCCTCAAAGCCCGCTCCTCCTGCTGCGCGGCGCTGCTACGGGACCGCGGCGACGGTGGCCGCACGCCCCACAGCCCTGGGCACCGCGCTCCACGCAGCGCTTCGGGCCGAAAAAGCGCTCGGCCGGCCAGGCAGGCGTAACTCACACCACCGAAGCAAGCCCGGACACCGAAGCCACTTTGTTGTCCTCGGCCCAGGGCTGCAGGTTCTGCAGCGCGAAGAGTGACGAGTTGTGCAGGCACAGTGGGTCTGGGGGCAGCGGCGGCCGCAGCGGCCGCGGTAGCGCGTCCTGCTGCAGGTGCAGGAGCAGTCGGCCCGCGCGGTGCCGCTCCGCCTCGCGCTCCTCCGCCGTCTGACGCCTGGACGGGCGGGGATGTGGAGTCAGCGTGGCCGGCCGTGGCCCGCCCCACGCCCCACCGGCCCTTGGCGCGGCCCGCGCCCCTCCCCACTCCGCGCCTCACCGCCACTTGGTGCGCCGGTTCTGGAACCACGTCTTGACCTGAGCGTCGGTCATGCGCAGGGCCTTGGCCAGTGCCGCCCTCTCCGCCGAAGCCAGGTACTTCTGGCGCAGGAAGCGCCGCTCCAGCTCTAGCACCTGCGAACGGGAGAAGGATGTGCGCGGCTTCTTCCGCTTCGGGGGGGTCCGGTTTTGGTAAGGGTGGCCAATGCGGCGCGTCCCGGAGAAGGGGGAGAGCGCGGCTGCAGGGAAGAAGAAAGAGCAGAGTAGGGTTTGCTGGGCGGTTCGAGGTGACCCTGAGAAGAGAGCGCAGCTGCCCAGGCCGCAGGGCCCCCGAGCCCTGTCCTTACCGGTGCCCCTAGCTGGGCCTCGCATCAGTAGAGGCCACTAGACAAAAAAAAAAAAAAGAGGGGACCTCGGAAGAAATGGCTCTCCCCCTTGGATGAGGGAGAATTCTCCCCGTAACTTCACCCTGCTCTCCTCCCTGTGTGGACAGTAGGCTGCAGAGAAGAGAGCGAGCATCGACGGTAGCTCCCTTCCCGTCGCCTCTCAGCAGCGGGACCAAGAGATACAAGATGGGAGGGGATTCCCTGAAATGATCTGGGGGAGGAGTATGAAAGGGGACCTGGATTTGGATCCGAAGGATTAAAGATGAGGAAACCCAGACGATAGAGGGGTTCGGCAACCTCACCAGTGAGACGGTCCTTGGCAAAGCGGCGTCCGCTGTCCATCCAAGGGAAGGTGAGTCCCGCTAGGCCCCCGGCGCCGCCCAAGCCCGAGGGGCCCGGCACCGCGGGCGCGCCTCCCGCGGGCGGCGGCACTGGCAGCGGGCGGTGCGCGGGGACGCGGATCACGCCGCCTGGGCCCATGCCGGAGCTGCCGGGTAGAGGGCCCAGGGAGCCTGAGGAGCCGTAGCTTGAGGCTGCATGAAATCCACCTGAGAACGCCGCACTTTCCCCGTGGCCCTGGCCCGTGCGACCCTGGCCTAGGTTGCTCCCGGGGGGCTCCGGGAAGCTCAGGATCTGATCAATGCCGAAGCTGATTGGTTCATGGTGTGGGAGGTTGTGCGAGGCCAGCACCGCCGGTTCCATGGGTACAGGTCAGGGAAGACCGGAGGAGGTTCGGAGGTTTTGGAGGGCGCCCCAGGCAGCTCTGGGAGCCCAGCAGCGGAGCGACAGGGCGGCGGCCTCAGGGGCCAGCGGAGCTGGCCGCGGCGGGGCGCCGGGGCCCCCAGGACAGCTTCATCCCAGTGCACGGGGAGTAGCCGCGCCCATGCCGGCCTCTGCCGGGCGTCGGTGCAGGAACTCGCATCCCGGAGGAGCGCGACCGACCAGCGTCCCAGGAGCGCCCTTCTGTCTCTGAAGCGCAGATGGACGCTGGGCTGGCGGGGCCTCTGCCCGAGTCCGGGGTGGAGAGGGTTGGCCCGCTCTGGCTGGGGCAGTGACTGACAGATCTGCCTCGAGTGGGCAGTGGGGGCTGGGGGGAGTGTAGGGGCGGGGCCCGGCCCATTAAAGGGGAAGAGACGCCTGTTTGCGCCAAGAGAGGGGAAGCCTGGCCGGCAGGGATGGCGGGGGTGGGGTAAGGAGGTGGCAAGGGTGTTAGGAACCAGGCTTAGCCCGGGAGGGGGCAGAGCATGACAGGGTACGCGCTGAGTCAGCCGAGATGCTCCCGGCTACTCCATCCTCGCTGGCCTCCGCCGTAGGGCTTCCTGGCAGGTACCTCTTCCCACACCGCCCTCCTCCCCCTCTCTCTTTTGCCTCCCGATGGGTCCTGCCTGCGGACTCCCGGATTCGTTGTGACCCCCGCCTAAGTGCCCTTGAGGACCAAATCTCGTTGTGACTTCTTGGATGCGATGGGGAACGGCGCTGGCGACTTGAAGGCCAAGGAAGAGGACAGGTGTGGGAAGCGGTGGCAGTGCGCGTCTGGTGGGCTAGGGCGGGGAGCCAGTGGGCCAGTGTCTCGGGGCACCTCCTGGCCTCTTCCGTAGGACCCTTAGCTCCTTTCGGGAGCGCCAGGAATTGGTGCCCTGTTTCCTAGAATTTCGATTGTCTCAAATCGGTGTAAAACGAGCCTTTGGCTCAGCTCGGGCCAACTCAGGCCGGTGTGAGCTTGGGGCTGCCAGTTGTGCCCCCGACAGGAGATCGCCAACAAGGGACTCTGACCCACCACTCGGCTCCTAGAAAGTGTATTCTGACATACTCCCCTTCCCATCCCCACCACTACCACCACCAAAGGCGGAGGACAAAATCGCCACAGGAGACACGTGGGACCTCAGTGAAGCCGTCAGAGGATCCCAGCCGCCTCATTTCCCAAAGACGCTTCACCCTACCCAGGCGCAGGAAACTGTGCCTGGAGCGCGTCGGAGAAGGGAGGTGGGGAAAGGCCAAAGCGCTTTGGTGACCTTATGACCTCTGGCGGATGACCCAGGAGGTGGGAGTGTGTGAACTCTGCGTCCCTCCCCGGGATGGGACCCCTGGCCGGGCGGGCCCCTTCGCCTTAGACCCGCCCCTGCCGCCGCCCGGCCCGGTGCAGGCCGCCATAATCGGGTTAGCTGGGTCGGAATTACATTACCTTCCCCGGCCTGCCCCGGCCCCGGGGGGGCCCTGGCGCGGCCCTGGCGCCTCCGAGCCGGTGAGACTGGGCGCAGGGAGGGGGTGTTCCTATCATCCCGCAGCGGGTTGGCACCAATGAGCAACTTGGCCTGCCTCAGACGCAGACGCGTGGTGGCCAAAGGGCCCCACCCCGCTGTGCCAACCCTAGGCCTTTGACTCCAGCCCACTCCGTGCTCAGCTCCAGGCTGCTTGTTACCCCATGGGAGCCAACATGCCTTCTAAGTCTAGTAGATGGGTCTCCCTGGGAACACGAATCTTCCAGCTGATTCTCCAGGATCTTCTGGGAAAGGCTCTGCCTCTTCTTTCTCCCCGGCAGATGGGCTGGCAGCCTGGTGCCTGGGGCAGGGTGAGGGGTCCTTTCTCTCCAGGGAACAGAGGGATGATATTTGGGCATCTGGACAGGAAGATAAAGAAAAGAAAGTGGGCTTTCTCCCAACCCTAAGCCACTAGCCCGTCAGTTTTCTCAGAAGCCTCAGTCTGAAGTCTGGGGCAGGGAGGCAGTGGGCATTAACATGTGACATCCTTCCCCAACCTTGCCCACACCCATCATCTAATTTCTCCAGTTCTTCCCCCAACCTGCCAACATCCCTTCCTATTTTTCTCTCTCTCTTTTAAAGATTTTATTTATGTTTAGAGAGACAGGAAGGAAGAGAGAAGGGAGAGAGAGAAACATCCATGTGGGAGAAAAACATTGATCAGTTGTTTCTCCTATGGGCCCTGCGCTCCGTCTGGGGGCCAAACTTGAAACCCAGGCGTGAACCAGTGACCTTTCACTTTGCAGGTGACTTTCTACTTTCCAGGGTAACACCCAACCAACGGAGCTACACCAGCTAGGGCAACAGCCCCTTCTGAGAGTGGGGTGGGGAGCTTCTGCAAATTTGGCGGCTGTGTTTTTACCTTAGTGGAAAAGATAGACATTATCACCTCTCCTAGCCCTTCACAGAAGCCCAAGCACCCTTTCTCAGCAACAGAAGGATGGGGCTCCTAGAAGGGCATGAAGCCTGCTATTCGAGCAAAACCTTCAGAGATAGCAAAGCTGGATCCCTCCAGATGTAAACAGAGATGCTAGGGAGACAGCAAAGTAAATAAAGCCTCTGAAGGAGACTGGCCTGCAGGTTTGGAGTTTGTCAGTCCCTTTCCCTATTCTAGCGGGTGGACCTCTGAGGAGAGGGTGGGCAGTAGTGTGTCTGCAACCAAGCTGAATAAATATATCCTGGGATGAATCACTGAAGGAGAAAAAAGGCAACATGGTATAGACCTACATACCTGCTTACTGTACACACTGCCCGTTGAGGTCAGCACAGATTGCACTGCCACCGAAAGATTGCCTAACTGATCCTTTGAGGAGAACAGCCACAAACCAGTAGTACATACCAATCTTTTAGGGAATTTTAAAAAATATTTCAGCCCCCACTTCAAGAACAAAGGACTTTCATTTCTGTCAGCCACAGTCCTAGGAGTTTGTCTGCTTGCCTTCTTCACCTTGCTGGTTCCCTGGAGAGGATGGATCCTGCTAGTTTATGTTGAAGATGGAAGGTCTGGGGTCAGCACCGCCCACCTCCCATACACACTGCTTTGGATTCATCTCACTATCTCTACATGCACGTGGCCCCACAGCTCTTCAAGTTTTCAGGCTTTAAGCCTGCAGCTTCACAAGAAGAGGTCATATTCCTAGCCTGTGCTTCTGTGCCTCCCTTTCCTTTCTGCTATTGTCATAGTGTCCTTTCCCTTGAGATCGTCCCCACTCCTGTATCATCATTTCTCTCATGAACTTAATACTTCCTATACCCAACCATCTTAGATCGCTATTATCTAGGCAAAGTCTTTGCCTGACTCTTCATGAAAAAATGTTTTATTTTCCCCTTTAGTGCCCATACCCACTGCCTCCATTTTCTCATTGTTTATTCTTTTACCCCACAGCACGCCCGCTTCACTACATAGACTCTTGCTCAGAGAGCTACAGTGTCCAGTGCCCATTATCCAGGAATCTCTAACATGTTTTACTTTGTTGATCACCAACTATTTGTTGAAATGTCCCTTATTTTGGCTTTCATATATTGTCTCCTACATCTTTGGACTTCAGAGTGAATATTATGTTCTTTCCTCCACTGACTTGTCTTCTTCCATTGTAGACTGTGAGCATTCTTCAGAGCTCAGACTTCAGCTTTCTCTCTACATCTGCTCAGGTTTCATCCATTTCAGTAGTTCTATCTATTGCATCCACCCAGAAAACTCTGAGACCCATCCTTGTTCCTGGCACGTGTGTTGCAGCCCCACCATTATAGCCTTCTAACCAACGCCACCTGCCTTTGCTGCAGCCACCTGTAAGTCCAGTAGGCTGGAAGACAGGCTCCCCACCCAAGCTCCTTACTCGCTTCCTCCTATTGTGCTTTTCTTTGAAATATTTCATACACAGCTCTTTCTTACCATTTCTACTGATAAAAGCCTAATTCAGGCCATCATCACTACCACCTACTTTCATTCATCTGTTCATCCAGAAAATTTTGATTGAATATCTACCTACTCTGTACCTGGCACTGGAAATATAGCTGTATAAATACAACGGGGGGGGGGGGCGGAAAGTCCCTGCCACTGAGAGGCTTACATTTTAGTGGGGAATGCAGGTGTAAAATAAGAAAAATATACAATATATTAAATAATAAATGTTAAGAAGGAAAAACAAAGCAAGGGAAGGGGAGAAGAAATGAGGGGCTGGGGAACTGTCATTTATCTAGAATGATCACAAAAGGCCTTGTGGAGTAAAGACCTGAAGAAAGGAAGGAACCATTTGGACACCTAAGCATTTCAGGTTGGGGATAGACAGGGAGTACATCCTGGTGCATCCGTGGAACAAACAGTGAGGGGTACAGTGTGGCTATAGAAATTGGATGACCGAGAAACCATGCAAACCCTTGCAGACCATTTTAAGGATTTTGCCTTATTCTGATTAAAAAGGGAAGCTATTAGAATAGCATAAACGAAAAAGACACTCAATTTTTATTTTGTTTATTTATTTATTTATTCATTTTTAGAGAGGGGAAAGGAGAGAGGGAGAGAAACATCAATGTGCGGTTGCCTCTGGTGTGCCCTACTGGGGGCCTGGCCCGCAACCCAGACATGTGCCCTGACTAGGAATTGAACCCACAGCCCTTTGGGTTGCAGTCTGGCACTCAATCCACAGAGGCACACCAGCCAGGGCAAGACATCCAATTTTTAAATTTTATTTTTAACAGCTTTTTAAAGGTAAACCTGACATACAGTAAAACTGCACGTTTAAAGTGTACAATTTAATAAGTTTTGACATAGGTATACATCCATGAAACAGTCAACGCAATAAATAATAAACATATTTATCAACTCAAAAAACTTTCCTTGTATTCTTTTTTCCCCCTTTTTTCTGGGAGAGGGTGAACATGGTCTCCTACTACCACAAATTATGCAGTCAATTTTCCCACATTTGGAAAAATCACAGGGGTCGGCGCACCTGAAATGCAATGTATAAGCCTCACTCTAGGAAAAACCACCTTGGTGATCACGGTATGTCCCCCGCCAAGTAAGTATCCTTGTATCCTTTTTTGTTCATGTTTTATCAGAATTACTCTGAGCTGCTGTGTTGAGAATAGACTAAAGAGGGGGCAACGGTGGAAGCAAGAAAAGCAGGCAAAAAAAACCACTACTCATTCAGGGGATAGATGATGGCATCTTGGACCAGGGAGGTAAGCAGTGGCTGTAGTAAGTAGTTGATTAAAAAATCACCACTGCCATAACTTCTTGTCGCTTATCCACTTCAATTCATTCTGATGATAAATGAACAAAAATGTTTCTTTCATAGGGTAACGCCCTCTCTTCAATAGTCAGCGAGTTCTCTATGGCTCACGGGCTGAAAGTCCCAACTCTGTAAAGTCCCTGCTTCTCCTACCACTACTCTCAAACGCACAACTTAGCCTCCTTCCTAGCCCTCTCCAGTCACTCCCCTCAGCCTTCCTTTTCTATTTCCACCACATTTCTTCCCCCTCTCCCTCGTCGCCCCCAACTCTAAATTGTCCCCACACGAAGTCCCACTTCCTTCAGACAGCCTTTTGGGGTCTCCATTGGAATTCCTCCCTCCTTCAATCTCCAACTGCATTCGGTGTTAAAACATCACAGTAAACTTATCCTTGTTTTTTAATCCCGCCGTTAAGTACCTAAGGACAGCAGTGTGCCAGCTTTCGGGGCCCCTGCGTCGTATCCAAATACGGGGCTGCGCTTACGCTACTGCAGGGGCTCGCTGCCTCAGCTTGTCCGTGTCCGTGTCCTAGTCGTCCTCCCCTCCTCCTTGGGCATCTGCTCTGCATTAGTCTGTCCCAGGCCTCCGCAGGCGCCTATGATTGAATCATCATCATTAACGAGGGCCTGCCCCCACCCCGTCCCCGGCGGCAGGGGAAGGATGGGGGCGGGGGTGTGTAAGATCACTACCAAGTCCCTAGGGGTCCCTCCGCCCCGCCACCCTTTCCGAGGCTCTGCAAAGCCCCGAGAAACTCCCGCTCGGGAGCCAGGGGAAGGCCCTCCATCGTGATGAAGCTCCGTAATGTCAAGACGTCAGCCGATGAGGGCGACACTACCAAGAGAGGGCTCCAGAGGGGCTTTAACAGGGTGGTTGTCACAGGAGCTGGACGACCCTGCGCGGAGGCGGGTGGAGACCACCGGGCCTTTTGGTGTACGAGGGGGCAGTCTTTTGCAGGCTCCAAAAGTTAGTCCCGAGGTCCGGTAGGGTCTATTATGATGATTACTACAAAAGGTCAATGAAAAAGGACCCCTCCTCACGCCGCCCCCCTTCCTAATTACGGAGGGGAGAGGGGGAGGGGCCACTGGGGCTCAGGTGAGCACACGGGGAAAAAGGACATGGGCGGGGACTTACAGAGAGTCAGCGAATCCAGAAAGACCTAAGCCCTCGTTGCTGGGTGACAAGTCCCGCCCTGCAGGCGGCACCGGAAGTGGCAGGCCGGGATCAGCCTTTAAGATGGCGTCTCCTCAGGGGGGCCAGATTGCGATCGCGATGAGGCTTCGGAACCAGCTCCAGTCAGTGTACAAGATGGACCCGCTACGGAACGAGGTGCAGGGGCTGCAGGGTTACTTCTGTGGTCGGCTAGCGGTGCGAACTGGGGCCGACTAGAGGACAGGCCGTGGCTGGCCTGGCGCCCAGTGCGCCTGCGCAGAGACAGGGGTTTCAATGCGCCTGCGCGATTGCGGTCGCGTTGCCAAACTCCGGGCTACAACGCCTGCGTATTGTGCCGCCCACGTCTTGTACTCTCCCCTAGGAAAGGAAGGTCGGGCGAATCCACGTGAAGGGAGTTCCCGCTGTGCGCGGAGCCCTCTCCTGAGCAGAGGGGTAGTGTCAGCTCCGGGGAGTTAATTCCCTGCTGACCGCGCAAGGTGCGGGGCTTGGCCGCTGGGAAGGCGCAAGGGTTGGGGCTGGGAAGGGTGATCGGTGACGGAGGTTGTGCCTGCAGGAGGAGGTCCGAGTAAAGATCAAAGATTTGAATGAGCACATCGTCTGCTGCCTCTGCGCGGGCTACTTTGTGGATGCCACCACCATCACAGAGTGTCTTCATACTTGTGAGTTTTCTGGACCTCGACTGGTTTTTCCAGGCCCTAATTCCCACCAAGCTGGCTGTCAGCCTCTGTATTATCTGCCCCAACCACCCAGGCACCCTATCCAGTCCATGAACATGATTCCCAGAGGACCTGAGAGTCTGCTTTTCTTTTCCTGCAGTCTGCAAGAGTTGTATTGTGAAGTACCTCCAAACCAGCAAGTACTGCCCCATGTGCAACATTAAGATCCACGAGACACAGCCACTGCTCAACCTCAAACTGGACCGGGTCATGCAGGACATCGTGTACAAGCTAGTGCCTGGCTTGCAAGACAGTGAGTGACCAACCTGACTCTGAGGGGCTTCTAGAGGACTGATGCTGGGTAGCAGCTAAAGGTGATAATGGCTTTGGTAGGAACCATGTAGGTAAAGAGGTTTCTCTGTCCGGTGTAGCTCAATAGGTTGGGCATCAGCAGGGCAAAGGAAAATATTGCCACTTCGACCCTCAGGTCAGGGCACATGCTGGGGTTGCGGGCAGTCCCGGTAGTGGCACCTACAAGAAGCAACCAATTGATGTTTCTCTCCCTCTCTTTCTCCCTCCCCCCATCTCTAAAAATCAATAAATAAAATCTTTTAAAATAAAGAGGTTGACAGCCAGATGGATAGACTGAGGGAGAGTTAATACTTTACTCCCCATACTCCACTGCCTTCTAGGTGAAGAGAAACGAATTCGAGAATTCTACCAGTCTCGAGGCTTGGACCGAGTCACCCAGCCCAGTGGGGAAGGTATGTCTCTTGACTGCAGGAGGGTAAGGTAAAGCCCCCTGAGCATTCCTCCTGCCCAGTTTTGCTCTCTGGGGAAAAAGGAGTATGGAACCTGTGCTGCTACTCTGTATTTCTCAGAGCCAGCCCTGAGCAACCTCGGCCTCCCCTTCAGTAGCTTCGACCACTCTAAAGCCCACTACTATCGCTATGATGAGCAGCTGAGCCTATGCCTGGAGCGGCTGAGGTGAGGAGCAGGTCCTGGGCTGTCTGAAGTGATAGTATCAATGACCCAGAGCCAGGAAAGGGCTCAGGGAGAGGGCTCGCAGCAAGGGAGTGCCTATTCCCTTGAAGAGAGTATATCACAGCTCTGGATGGGCATAGAGGGAAGTTAGAGCTCCCTAACCTGTGTCTGTTTCCCCCCAGTTCTGGCAAAGACAAGAATAAAAGCATCCTGCAGGTGAGAGGGGCTGAGGGAGGGCGTCTCTAAGGAAACTCACCTCCCCAGGCCCCTTCCCTCACACACCTTGTGTTCTTCCTTACCTTCCCCACCCTCAGAACAAATATGTCCGATGTTCTGTTAGAGCTGAAGTTCGCCATCTCCGGAGGGTCCTATGCCATCAGTTGATGCTAAATCCCCAGCATGTGAGTATTCCCACAGTAGGTTCTTTTGGGAGGGAAAGGGGCTACAAAGGGAGGGAGGGAGTTTAAAGTGGACCAGGTTAATTCTTGACAGTGTGAGAGGACATTTTTAGAACTGTGCTCCCATCTCCCTGCTAGGTGCAGCTTCTTTTTGACAATGAAGTGCTCCCCGATCACATGACCATGAAGCAGATATGGCTCTCCCGCTGGTTCGGCAAGGTGAGCCAGGTCCAAGGCAGCACCAGGAGAGGGGTGGGCTGAGGGCGCCTTTTAGGTAAGGACTGTCCCACTGACTACTTCTTCCTCTTGCTCTCCCCTTAGCCGTCCCCCTTGCTTTTACAGTACAGTGTGAAAGAGAAGAGGAGGTAGGGGCCAAGCCCCTACCCCATCCCTCTCCCCTTCCCTCCCCAGATATTTATGTGAAATTAATTGTGGCTTTATTTTTTTGAAATAAAAACTTTATAAAAGCACCTCTCTTCCTTCTTTTCCTACTGTACACTCATGCTTTGTCCTATATCCTGCTTCCCTCAGAAATCCTCTGAGTGTCATCAAGAAGGATGTCCCTCAGTGAATGACCAGAGAAGGAGGGTAGAGGACCCTATACATGTAAAACTCAGAAAATGAGCTAAGTGAAGCCAGGCCACCCACACCGGCTATTTTTGGCGAAGGGAAGTTTTTCTGGAGGAGAGCTTTCATTGTCCTTAGGTGTTGCAACATTTGATGCAGGCCTGAGTAGAGGTACCCTAATTCAAGGGTGGTGAGAGTAGGGCTTGGATTGGACAGTGGCCACTGCAGAACTGAAGAAGAGTGATATTTTAAAGAAAAATCCAAAGATTTGGACTATGTGAGGAGTCTAAAAAATCCCAGGGGGCTCGGGGCACATACAAGGATAGAGTTGGAGACCTGGCTGTGTATACAAGATGCAGTGGGCCTTCGGGTACCTGGGCTGGGCGAAGCCAGGTTGTAGAGAGGGAGCTGGTGCCCAGGAGAGCAGAGGGAACGCCAAGGCACTCTACTGATAATTCAGCAAACATTCCTCGTCTGTATGAACCTGGCCATAAGCACTGAGCTCTGGAAATAAACCCAGCTAGCTTCCTGTTCTCCAGGCCTCTTACAGGAATAGCCAGAAACTTGCCTGTCTGGGATAGTAACAGAGGGAGGCTCAAGGCCTAATTAAGAAAAAAGATAAGCTGGGACAAGCGGGATGGAGCAGGCAGCATAAATGTTACCAGAACCCAAGTTTAAAACTTAAGTCACCTGGCTGAGATCTGATCTCCAAGATTCTGACAACTTCCCATATGTCAGGCCTCATGCCCTGGCATGCCTTCCCACGCTACCTGCCATACTCAGCTGTCCTTGAAGACCTGTGTCACCTCCTCCAGGAAACCCTCAGCCAGAATCAGGGCTGCTTCCACAGCCTTCGGGCCTGTCTCTACACCAGCATATGAGGTCTGTCCGGTAAAAGTCCAACCATTGTTAATACTATGAGAATGATTTGCATGACATCAATGTAACTGAGCAGCCAAGGAGAATTGCCTGAAAGGCACATGTGTGAACAAGGACAATGTCACTCTACTAGTCTGTGGG